GGGGGGGGGGGAGGGGGGGGGAGGCGAAGCTGAGACTTTTCCAAACCAGTGAGAGCAAAAGGTGGGAGTCGGGGGAGGGGAGACGTGCGTCTGGGGGCTTAGCGAGAGACAAGGCTGGGTTTCCAGGCCCTTGACGCCGCTTTCCCTGACGCCCTGGTTCTTCAGAAGCTACCGGCATCACCGCTTTCCCAGACTCATTGAGATCCCTCCGAGAGGAGCAGAAAAAACATTAAGTGCTGACAGTTTTTTGTTGTCGTTACACTGTGAAGATAGTGGCTTGTGTACACGTCCTGGGCAGAGAAACTTCTTGGGTCCGGTTAATATTAACCTAGAGACTCAGACAGAACAACAGTTGCCTTGGGCAAAGTGCTGGTGCTGGCCAAAGGCCCTGCCCTCTGACCCTCTTCCGAGAATCAGAACTGCCCTCAAGACAAATTCATGCACACTCTGCGTGCCATCGTATACTCGGTTCTTACCTTGAAGGCGTTAGAGTCCTGTTTGTAAAGCCACTATAGTTGTCAGGAAGATTTTTTTGCCTGTGAAAAGTCTTGACGATTTTAAGACTCAATCCATCGGATGCTCTTACAACTAACTAATCCTGGTGATCTGTATTTCCTGGTAGAATAGGCTAGAGCTGTGATACTGACTTTTAAAAGTATTTTGGTCGTCACATTAAGTCTTAGAGATTCGCAACAAAAAAACCCATAGTGCATGGAACCCCTTAGCCATGTTGACTTATGACATTGTGTGGTCACTGTTAGGGTAGGTGACATAATAAACTGGAAGAACCATTGTTCAGTCCCAAAGGTGTGATTATCCAGTAAGTATTTATATCCTTAGCCATGTTGGGAGAGCAGAAGAGTGTGTGGTCTTTAGCTTAAATTCAGTAGGCATATAGGATTGCATTTAAGTTCTGACAAGTTAGACTACATAGCCAAAATATGGACAGTTTTAGAGAATTTTGTGTTCTCTCTAAAACACCCCTAAGGAAAAAAAAGAATAAGGTGGCTTCTAAAATCTGAAAGTGCTCCTATAAAGACTATCAATTAATGTAAGTAAGTAAGTGAAGTCGCTCAGTCGTGTCCGAGTCTTTTTGACCCCATAACTGTAGCCCCAGGCTCCTCGGTCCATGGGATTTTCCAGGCATGAATACTGGAGTGGGTTGCTATTTCCTTCTCCAATCAATTAATGTACCTATGTTATACCTTTCAAACTTAGTTTGGATGATGGTTGGTAAAGGACATTGAAAATACAAGTTCAATGTATAGGTGTTAATTTTAATAACTTTCTTTACTGAGTACACCCTGGGTACTAGCAAAGAAAGAGTAGTCACCTTGGGGGTTTAAATCTAAATTTTAAAAAAGGCATTAAAACCCAGATATAAAACTTAAAATGAGGAGACCACAGCAGTGTCTTTCCATCTGAGATTACTTCCCCTGGTTTGAATTTGCCTTCTAGAGCCACTGAGCACACTGTGTGGTATCTTTGGAGAATGTTTCACATGCTATTGAACATGGACTTATAATAAGGCTAAAAAGTTAATTTGCTTGATAAATTGCTCTTTCTCAGGGAGGTCCCTGGGTGCTACAAATAAGACAAAGTCAACATTTGAGGGGAAAATGCTTAGCAAATTACTTCACTGCAAAGCAACTTTTTAGAATTTTTAAACTTGTATCTTCATTTTAGAGCAGGCATTCATTTTTTTCACTATTGGTCTGCAGCTATATTTAGCTGAAGCAAATATAGTTAGTGCTACAGCAAATGTTTCATGACTAAGGATCTGCCTTCAGAGAGCTTATCTTTGATAAAATGATTGCATTTTTAAAAGAGCCAGTTGTTGCCTTTTTAAATTTCAATACTGGCATTGTGAAGGGCAAAGCTGAAAAAATTTAAAGGCTAAGAAAAAGCAGGCAGTTAACAAGACCTTTTGCTGGTACCTCATAAGGAACTGGTGGCTCAGAGGGTAAAGCATCTGCCTACAATGTGGGAGACCCGGGTTCGATCCCTGGGTCAGGAAGACCCCCTGGAGAAGGAAATGGCAACCCACTCCAGTACTCTTGCCTGGAAAATCCCATGGACTGAGAAGCCTGGTAGGCTACAGTCCATGGGGTTGCAAAGAGTCGGACAGGACTGAGCGACTTCACATAAGAAACAGTTGGTGTGATGGAGATGCGATATCATATCACATTCTCCATAAAAATACCATTCTTTTTCTTCTTTGGCAGGTCCACGATGTGTGAGAAGCCAGGGGCAAAACTCAGACATGATGAGATATGACTAGTCTCCAACCTACCTGGGTTTAAAAGCAATAAAGGATACTGATTTGTTCCTTATATTCCTGTGTTCATCGAGGAATTCCTAGGGAGCAGAGTATGTTCTTATATAATTTACACAACATATTGGACAAGGTGCCCAATAAAAATAAAACATTGTCATCTACTGAACACAAAACTATTACTACATATGTAGTAGACATCCCCAGTTTATAATATTCTAAATTAAAGGCATGAAAATGAGTCACTTTCTGAAGGTCACAGATAAGTCCTAGACTAGATTATATTTTCTCTTCTCTTTGCCCCTCCCTTCTCTGTCCTCAAAAATTGATAAGTTGAAGATTAAAATGCCTACTGTTGTTTTCACTATAATAACATTGTTTTATGTGGTAGTAAAATCAACAGCAAAATCTTATTAATTTACCACAGTTGTCCAGTGAACTGGGTTTTCTTTTTCGTGGCCTAACAGTGGGAAGTTCTATTGTATCTGTCAAAAATAGGGACAGATGTTCCCCACTAAAAGAAAATTTTTAAAGGAAAAATAATGTCCACAAGTTAAAACAGAAGCCCCTTGAGGGCAAGGTGTTATTTTCTGTTGTTTCCCCAGCACCTGTATCTAGCACATTGGAACTCAATAAATATTTAGTTAATGATTTCTTTCTCTTCTGTAAACTAAAATCAGATTGGTTTATTTTTTATTAATTTTTTATGAATGTAATTTCATTAACTTTCTCTTCCATGACTTTCCTAATTGGAGGTGGAAAAAACATATAGTACATTTTGTTCTTAGTTATGATTCAGTATCTATAATTGGGAGACAGACTTACTGAAAGATATTTAAGACCTGGGACAAGAAGCAGCAGACCAATTAGACACATGGTCATTAAGTCACCAAATACTCTAAGTTACTATTTTAATGAGAACAATATGGTTAGAGCCTCTCAGCCCTCCTAAAATGCTTTGAACAGGTAAATTGTAGGATATTAGTACTGTGACACAGCAAGAAAACCAGTCACCTTTCCTAGTCATGCTTAATTTACATACTATAATCTTGGTTAAATTTCAAGTCTTCCTTATTAATCAGAAATAAAATCTAATCTGACTTTTGTTTTTATAGCAACATAACTATTCAATATGTTGACTTTTTTAGGGGGTAAATTTCTTTCAATAGATTACCTCCAAATATAACTAACTGTAGTTAGCAAGGACAAAATGCTACCTAAGTACTAAATTAGTCCTCATCAACTTAAGAAATTTAAACTCATTAGTATGATAGTCATGTTTGCTGTTGACCCTCTCCCTTACTAGCATCTGACCCTCTGCTCCCTAGACACACAAACACTAACTTCATTCCACCCATCGACTCTAGCTCAAAAAAAAAGAAAAATTAACCATCCGTGGGGAAAAGTTTCTTGACTCTACTGTAAAGTCAATTCTTGATTTGACACTTTGGCAACCTATATTTCATGACTTAACACAGTTTATAACAGTTGTTTAATGTGTTTTCCCCATTAGATTGCAAGCTCCAAGGTATCAGAAACCTTTTGCTTATCATCCCTAGCAGCTGCTGCTGCTAAGTTGTTTCAGTTGTGCCGGACTCTGTGCGACCCCATAGACGGCAGCCCACCAGGCTCCCCCATCCCTGGGATTCTCTAGGCAAGAACACTGGAGTGGGTTGCCATTTCCTTCTCCAATGCAGGAAAGTGAAAAGTGAAGTCGCTCAGTCGTGTCCGACTCTTAGTGACCCCATGGACTGCAGCCTACCAGGCTCCTCCGTCCGTGGGGTTTTCCAGGCAAGACTACTGGAGTGGGGTGCCATTGACAGCAGAGAGCAGGCCAAAAAAAAATATGAATCTCACTGCAGAACTATTGTCTCATAATTATTAAGCTTGTAAATCACAACAAATAATTCAATCTATTCTTTAGGGCATTTGGGTCTTGCCTGATGGCTCAGAAGGTAAAGAATTCACCTTCAATGCAGGAGACCAGAGTTTGATCCCTGATTCAGGCAGGTCTCCTCCAGAAGGGAATGGCCACCTACTTCAGTATTCTTGCCTGGAGAATTCCATGGACAGAAGAGCCTGGCAAAGCTCCTGGGGTCAAAAAGAGTTGGGACACCTGAGCAACTAACACATTCTTCTTTGGAGCATTTAGCTGTTTTGTGATCTTTTAAGTATTTGACTTTAAACATTTGCTTTCTTACACCGAGTCTTTTTTAAAGATTAAAATTGAGCAGTACTGCTGACAATTCCACAACTGAGATATTTTTAATGTAAATATTATAAAATACACACAATAGAAAATACAGAATGGTAATAGTGATACAAGACAAAAAGTAAAAGGGGCTTTCCTGGCAACCCAGTGATTAAGACTCCCCACTTCCACTGCAGGGGGACAAAGGTGATCCCTGGTGGAGGAACTAAGATCCTTTATGCTTCTCAACGTCCCCTCCCCCCAAAAAAGATGTAAAAAATCCTTCCTACCCTCCAATCTTCCAGTGCCACAATTGTAAACACAACCGCTTCTTTAAAATAACTAAAATTTATAAGTTTTTCTGACAAGTCACAAGGCTTTGCTTCTTCTGACTTGTTTTACATAGTATTTAAAATATCAAGCATCACTACTGTTAAAGCAGGAATGAATCTTATTTTTATAATGAAACAGTTAACCCTGGATTTTTAAAAAATTTTTTTCCATTTATTTTTATTAGTTGGAGGCTAATTACATCATTGCAGTGGTTTTTGTCATACATTGAAATGAATTAGCCATGGATTTACATGTATTCCCCATCCCGGTCCCCCCTCCCACCTCCCTCTCCACCCGATCCCTCTGGGTCTTCCCAGTGCACCAGGCCCGAGCACTTGTCTCATGCACCCAACCTGGGCTGGTGATCTGTTTCACCCTAGATAATATACATGTTTCGATGCTGTTCTCCTGAAACATCCCACCCTCGCCTTCTCCCAGAAACCCTGGATTGACAGAAGCCCATTTTCTTCACATTTTATATTTATTCTTCCTCATTAACATAAAATTGCTCAAAACATATACTACCCCTATTGATCACCAAAATTTTATTGTTTTATCTTGCAAGTGTAGCACATATATAATTAAGCAGTTGGTAAACATGTAGAGATTGAGCAGGCAAAAGGCCCATGGGGTACTGCTGTGTAATGTATCTAGGGAAAGGTTGACTAGACCAGTTGTTACATTTGACAGCAAAAAAAAAAGTAACTGGTTTCTGTTCATTGCTGTGATTAAACAGAGAGTAGGTTCCTTTCTTTTGGCTTCGGAGACTATGGATTCCAGATGCTTTTTATTTGCAGTGGGTGACTGGATAAGTTTCCAAGAACATGGTACTGCTGCCTCTTTAATTACAAATTTGGCAAAACTCAAAATTATATCACCCAGTAATAAACTACTAAGAAGGATCAGGCAAGAAGCAACTATCCAAATACAAAAAGCTAAATTGGCCATTCTTCGAGATGCTACTTCTACATTTACCTGAACTATGTAAAGAGAAATGAAGAGGCCAATAGCTGTCAATAGAATACAGTATGCTACTTTTATCCAGTCTTTGATCTGTGACCTTCTCTTAAGTACATATAACCCTGTTTGAACACCAGCCATATGTATTGACACATACCCCAAGGTAGAGATGATTCCTTCTCGGTTGGCATTTAATAAACCAACCCTTGTGCCACTGCCATCAGTTCCATACAAAATTATACTTTTCAGGGGGGTAAAATCAAGGGCTAGCTGGTATAATGCAGTAATGCTGATGGCCACAATCCAGGATTTATTTAGGGGAAACATAATCAAAAGCAGTGATGTTATCAGTTTCACAACTATTAAGGTAAAGAAAAAGTTCCAGTGAACACCATACTCAGTTAAATGTTCCTGATAGTCTATGGATTTTATAGCAACTAATCGCCCCATTCCTAGGAAAACTAATGGCCAAACAGAGTACAGTGACTTTGTAAGATAACAAAGTCTGGAGCCTTTTGTATATTTTCTCCTAACCTCTGGAGAAACCATTGCAGACCCAAAAATAAAGCCCCCTACTCCATAATCCATTGCTCCTGTCCCGTAGAGCTCGGTTTTGGCATATCTTCTGGGAAACAGTGGGAAGTCCACAGCCAAAATGGCAACAGCAGTAAAGGCACTGTTAACGACACGGAAACAGGAGATGGCTGGAATGTGTTCTGATTCTAGACTGACTTTCAAGAATTTTTCACAGATTTTGTGGAAAGGCATTCTGACATAGCAAGTTCTTCTGCAGTATATTCCATAGAGCAGTCCTGCCCCAAGGATAATTGCAACAGGATACTGGAGGAGGACAAATGAAGAGAAAATGGTCAAAGTGGTGACCAGGGGAACTATCAGGAAAGCAAAGTCAACCAAGAATCGAGTCCTCGAGTTATGTGAAGAAGAACAGAAGTGCTGTGAGAGAATGATCAGGAGGCCTCTACACAGGATACAGAGTGCAGGCAGGCACAAGCCCTCGGTGATTTCCAGCACGCTTGTTCCATTCTGGTTACTGACAAAAGCTTCCTTCATCTGCTTTTGAGACATTTTTCTCCTTCCTATGAAAACAAGAGCAAAGGGATGCATATATGAAAAGCAACCTTTCTGTGGGACTGGCATATAGATGCATCTGACTGGATTTTACTTAATTCCTGAATTTCAGAGCAGAATCCAGGACTTGAGATTCCCCCTCCAAGGATTGTTGGAAGAAGCCTAATATATGAAGATAAGGATGTCCTACTAACAGAATGAAATTACTGGTTAAAAAGCTTTAGCTGGGACTTCCCTGGTGGTCCAGTGGTTGGGAGTCCACCTTAAGAGTGCAGGGGACATGGGTTCGATCCCAGGTCCCGTAAGATTCCACATGCCACAGGGCAGCTAGCCTGAGCTACAATCACTGAAGCGGGACACGTCCTGGAGCCTGTAGACAACAAAAAGAAGCCACTGCAGTGAGAAGCCTGCGCACCCACAAGTAGAGTAGTCCCCACTCTCTGCAAATAGAGAAAGCCCTCCCACGGCAAGGAAAACCCAGAATTGCTAAATAATAAACACAGTACACTGTCATGAAGATACTGTAACGAAAATTGGTTTACATCTAACTAATGATTTCGAGTCCACTATGAGGGGGGAGGAGAAGAGGGACGCGGAAAGAGAAGGTGCTTAAGTACAGTTTGGACTTGGGGGCCCCAGTTTCTGTCCCGAGCCTCTCTGAACCTCCTGCCTCCAGCACAAAATGCGAACCCTCCAGGGATCTCCCGAGCTCCCCAGGCTGCTTGCTTCTCACCTCCTTTACAAGGTGTTGGTAGAGTGGAACGGACGCTAATCACGGAGGAGGAGTAGGGACCGTAAAGTACACCCTAGTGTTAATTGTTTTAACGGCTACAAAACGCCTCTCCACTCCACATCCATGTCTGAAAAGCGGCACACGGGAAGCACACATCTGTCAAACAAGAACCATCCCGAGAATGCACGTTTGAGGGATGGCCTATAGGGACCCAACCACGCCTCCCGAGGAGCAACCGACCCGAACCGGCTGGCCTTTAAAAAAGAGCTCTTTTCCTGACGGACACGCGCGCCGGTCCTCATACCTCACGTGCTCCTGGGGTCTCGGCGCCCCGCGGCAGAGCCGCGTTAGTGGGCTGGAGCGCCGGGGTCCCCCGCCGCCGCGGGAAGCGCGGAAGCCCGCCACTTCCGCCTCGCGAGCGGCGCTTCCGGCCGGGGCGGGGCGGGGCGGCCCGCGCTCCCAGGCCCCGCCCACTGAGCGGCCCCGCCCCGGAGGGTGCCCGTTTCCCACGCCCCGCCTGTTCCCCGCGCGGCTCCCTCCGGGTCTCCTCCTCGGCCAGCCCAGGTCCTGACAACGTGGCCGCGGACGCTGACAAGCCGGTCGGTCAGAGGCCCCCGGGCGGAAACGGCGCGTGCCGCACCCCACCACTGGCCATCAGACCCTGCGGCGAGCGTCAGGGCGTCCGGTCTCCCGGCTGGGAGACCCACAGTCCCGCGAGGGCCCCGGGGCCCCTCCGTCCCTCCCCGCTCCCTCGCACCTCACCGCGGGCTCTAAAGTACACCGTCCCGGAGCAAGCCCTCGGCTCCGGAACCCGGCGTACCGGGCGGGCCACGTGCGCCCGGCTGGCGCGCGCCCCGCCCCCGGGGAGGAGCCGGCCGGCTCCCGGCCACTCGGCCCGAGGCTGGACGCCCGCGGCGTTCCCGGCGCCTCCCCGGCCGGCCCCCGCCCCGCGCCCGCCCTCCGCCTCGCAGGCCCTTCCCGCCGCCTCACCCGGCCCGCCCGTCTGTCTTTCCAGTCTGGCCGGCGGGGGCCGCACGTTCGGCGGCTCGGGCTGTGGGACCGGTGAGTGCCACCCCGCAGCCGGGTCCGAAGGAACCGGGGAGGCCAGTGGGCCCCCGCGGCGCTGGAGAAGGGGGCGCCCCTCTTTTCCCCTTTCCAGAGCGCGGGCTTCACTTCTGTGCCCTTTCCCTTTTGACCCTCTCGTATCCCGGGAGGAGGAAGCCCGGCTCTCTGTCTTTTGCTCCAGGACTAGGACCCTCCGGGGTCACGCCTCACCATGCCGGCAGGGGGCGGCCCGGGGTGCAGGGAGGCCCCACTCCCGCTGCGCGCCTCTCCCCTCCTGGGGAGCTGGGGGGGGGGGGCAGGAGGCGTGCAGGCAGCTGCGCCCTTGGCTGGGGGTCACGTCCACCTTCCCGACAAGGACGGACTGTCCCGGTGCCCAGTGTTTCCGGAGCGGCATCCCAGCCCTGGGCCCGGCGGCAGCTCGCCGGGACCGGGAGTACCCGGTTCCCGCTGGGAAGCTGCGGGCGGGGCCGGCCGGGCTCCCGGGACCCTTAGCCTGCCAGTCTTGTGTGCCCGGAGGCTGGGGGAGGGGGGCGCAGTTGATAATCAGGTTGCCACTTGCCTTGCCCTGCCTAGGGGCTTTCATCTGTTCATTCCTGTCTCCCTCCTGCCCACAGTGGTCACGCCCTTTTCAGAAATTCTCGGCTGGTAGTCGCGAAGCCGACACGGAGCAAGAGCTGGGGGAACCTGGAGAAAACCGCTCCATCTGACTTGATTCTGGCAACAAGTGGGCTCCGTATCGTAATAACCAACATTTGCCAAGCGCTCTCAAAGGTACTATCTCGTTGATCCTTAACTCGGCCTTGTGAGGTCTGGATATTAGTAGTCCTTTTTGCAAAGGAAGAAATGGAATAAGGCTTAGAGAGGTCCTGTGAACTGCATTTTTGAGGGGTTGTGGGCTCTGGATTCTAACTGCACAACCTGGTGTATTCCCCTCTAATCCCCTCTCAAGATGAGCTTTCCACTGAGGAAACTTTGTTGGCCTTGAGTCTCGGAGCCCTCTGCACAGCTGTCGCCTGGATGGGGTAGTCAGTGTCCAGAGTGAATGTGTCCACCACAGTCTTGATGCCCTCTTCTGCCTACATTGTCCTTTTTCCAGTTTTCTTGGAGGTACCCCGTTCCTGAATTCTTTCAAAGGCTCAATGTATTCAGAGCCTCAAGTTTCCTTCAAGGTCAGTCCATTACCAGCACCCCTCATCCTCATCCCTCCTTGCTGGGGAGGTGTGGGGCCTGGGAAATTCTAAAAGTCACTCACAGTTTTACAGAGATGGGCCCAAACCCAACCTCACAACACCCCCTTTCTCAGATGGATTCTCCTCCTCCAAAACCTTGGCCTTCTTAAAGCTGACACTGAACTGTTCCACCTGATCAGTGCTCCGAAATGGATCATCCATCCTTTTACTAACAGTATTTCTCCTCTAAATGAATATTCAGATGTGGACTTCGTAGAGTGCTTTCACCTGATTGACCTTCACAGCCGCTCCCTGCAAAAGTAGCTTTTATTATCTCCATTTTTCAGATGAGGAGTGAAGGTGGGCAGGGAAGGTGAGGTGGCTGATCGCGTGAAAGACTGAGCTGTGGTTTCTGTCCCACACAACTGCTTTCCTGGAATATCAAGAATTGACTCCAGCCTCCCTTCCCCACCGAGGACTGGCTATACTAAGATGGAATATTTCTCTGTGCCCGAGAGGCTTCTCTGCCTTCCAGTGTCCTCACCCTCCGTGGCACACTGGCCCAGAAGATTGCAGCCCCACCCCAAACCCTGTAGTGAAACTGGCCGTGAAGGAGCCCCAGGAGGCTCCGGAGGCTCTTGTAAAAGTTTCGTTCGTTCCCTAATTGGCAGGGGGCAGGACAGACTCTTCCTCTCTGCCCAGGCTCGCCCTGGGTCTCATTTTGGTTCCTGATGCTTGGTGGGAGGAGCAGGACTGAGTCACCTTGCAGAAACCCTCATCACTTGTATGGGCCCATATCTTCTCTCTTCTACCACAGGCTCTGGGGTGGCTTGTCTCAGAGATTCCTTGAGAGCTGAGCCCTTCGCAGGACCCATGCCCCAGCCTGTGCCCCCATGACCAGGTGGATAGCATTCCTCGTGCCCACGACCCAGAATCCTGGCTGACCACACTGAAGCAGAATGCTCCAACAGGTAAAGTCCTCACCCTAAGACAACCCAGACTCTCAAGTACCTAAGGCAGCTCCACCTCTTTCGTTTACTGGAATGATGCTTCGGCTGCCCTGACCTGGAAGGAAGGGAAAGACCCCTTTAAAGGCCTTTCTTCTTTTCTGTCTTCAGATAGTCACTTTGGTGCCTTTTGTCTGCTGCCGAGAAGCTCTTCCTGATACCTAATTTGAATCTCTCCTGTTGTGGTTTTTAGCTCTTTCCCTGGGATGAGTAAGACAAGCTGAATGAGGGAATCCTTGGGGTGTTTTGGTGACCTTACAAACCTGACCCTGTGAGGGAGTCCTGAGAGATGCTCCTCACAGCCTGAATTGTAAAGACAAGTTGGAAGCCTGGGGCTTCCAAGAGGAGGTGGTCTTTAAAGCTGAGCCTTAAAGAAGTAAGAGTTGGGACTTCCTTGGCAGTCCAGTGGTTAAGACTGTGCACTCCCATCGCAAAGGGCACTGGTTCAACCCCTGATTGGGGAACTCAGATCCTGCATGCCACATGGCTCAGCCAGAAAAAAGAGTAGGGATTAGTCAAGTGGAGAAGGAAAGTAAGCAGTCCAGGCAAAGAGTCAGCCGGTGCAGAAATGTGGGAGAAGATGACCAGTGTGGAAATAGATAAGAATTCTGATGAATGGATCACAGGGAACATGGGTTGCTAATGGGATGTGAACCCCACCCTTTACGGCAGGCCTCTGCCGCTAAAGGCTCCTATGGCCCCGGACCTGCAGGATTCCAAATCACCCTTCCCTGTGGAGCCCCATCTCCTACCCATATCATCCTTTACTTGCAGCTCTTGGTCCAAAGAGAATGCCAGATACTAGCTGAATTTTTTTATTCACTGAGTGTTGCCACTGGGCCATGGAGAAGGAAATGGCAACCCATTCCAGTATTCTTGCCTGGAGAATCCCATGGACAGAGGAGCCTAGCGGCCACAGTCCATGGGGTCGCACAGAGTCGGACACGACTGAGCGACTTAGCAGCAGCTACAGCAGCCACTGGGCCAAGGCAGATGTTTACGATGATTCCTGGACTGGTGAAGTCCTAGGCGAGGAAGGCAGGATAACTGAATGTGAGGTCAGCCAGCCTCAAAGGAGCCCTGGTACACTCTACTGCTTGACCTCTTGATCCTTTGGCTCGTGAAACAGGCTTGAAGGCCAGAGAGAAGCAGGCAGGACAGCTACCTGCTCCAGGCTTTTTTTTTTTCTTGCGGAGGGAACTTTTTTATTGTCCATTTCTAACTTCTCTCTCATTTAAAAAACAGTAATGTTTATCAGGGCGTCCCTTGTTGGCTCAGCAGTAAAGAATCCACCTGCAATGCAGGAGATGCCAGTTCGATCCCTGGGTTGGGACGGTCCCCTGGAGAAGGAAGTGGCACCCTACTCCAGTATTCTTGCCTGGGAAATTGTATGAACAGAGGAGTCTGTCAGGCTGCAGTCTGTGGGGTCACAAAAGAGTCAGACATGACTTAGCAACTAAACAACCACCATGTTTATCATAACTGTACTAGCAGCTGCTCCGTGTTGCTCTCTTGCTTTATAGTAAACTCTATACTAAGCATTTTACACATATAATTTTGTTTAGTACTTGAGAAGGATACAGTATCACATATCCAATGCCATTATACCACCATTTTGAAGATAAGGCTCAGAGCAGTTAGGTGACTTATTCAAGGTCACGTTCATTGCAATGATGTGGGAAATACAGATAAGCAAAAAGAACATTACAATTACCCATAATTGTACTGCCCATAGATAACTGACATTTTAAAGAATATCCTAAATTTTTCTCCCTAAAAACTTTTAAAACATTTAAAGATATTATTCTCTTGGTAACCTGCTTTATTCAATTCTAAGGAGGTACTATAATTTAAGCTACTATTTGGACACTTGGGTTTTTTGGTTTGTTTTGCGATTGTAAATGTTTCTATATACACAGAACATTCTTATGGCCTTTACGTAGTATCATGTTCTAGAGAAGAATTACAGGGTAGTTTTAAGGCCCTTGGTATGAAAAGTGAAAGGAAGTGAAGTCACTCAGTTGTGTCCGACTCTTTGCAACACATGGACTGTAGCCTACCAGGTTCCTCCGTCCGTGGGATTTTTCAGGCAAGAATACTGGAGTGGGTTGCCATTTCCTTTTCCAGGAGATCTTCCCGACCCAGAGATTAAACCCGGTCTCCTGCACTATAGGCAGATGCTTTACCTTCTGAGCCACCAATATATTATTGCCTAATTAGAAGAGCTACTTTTTAACAGAATAATAATAGCAAACTTTTGGTGGCAGAAACCAGATGTTTTTTCTAAATACTTTATGTGCTTGTTAGTATCTATGAGATCTACCACTGCTACCACTATTCCCATTTTACAGATGAGGAACATTGAGGTGCAAAGAGACTAAGACACTTACATAAGATTCTGTAACTAGGACATGGTGGAATCAGGATTCAAACCCAGGCAGTCGAGCTTTCAAGTCCAATTCAGGAGCCATGATACTCAGCTGCCTGTCTGGTTGGATCAGATCTGTTCATAAATTATGGCTGGGTGTGAGTGATTTCCTTTTTCCACTAGGGTAGAGGGATTTGCATGCCCACAATCACGCTCTGACCTCAGCAGTCAATCCTGAAGATGAGAGTCTGCCTTGCGCATGCACTGTGGTGAGCCTAAGTTCAGAGAACAGGCAGCGTCTTTGGAAAGAAACTTATCACTGGGCCTCTCAAATGACACTTGCCACTTTTGCTGGAGATTTTTGAACTCTAAGGTTCACTGGTCCCATTAGAAACCCGCACATAGAACTTCCGTGATAGTCCAGTGGTTAAGAATCCACCTGCAGGGGACATGGGTTTGATCCCTGGTCCAGGAAGATCCCATATTGCCATGGGCGACTAAGCTCTTGAGCTGCAACCGTTCAGCTCTTGAGCTGCAACCGTTCAGCTCTTGAGCTGAAGACCGGTTGCCCTAGAGCCCATGCTCGGCAACAAGAGAAGCCGCTGAAAGGAGAAGCCTGCACACCCCAGCTAGAGAGTGGCCCCTGCTCGCCGCAACTAGAGAAAGCCCACGCACAGCAGTGAAGACCCAGCACAGCCAAATAAATAAATAAAAATTTCGAAAAAAGAAACCCACACATGTTATATCATAGACCCCTTCCTCGGAAAGCAGATTTCAGCCAGGTTACTGCCTGCTCGCTCACACACCTTCCCTGCAGCTCCCTGGGAGAAGGGAGAAGTGGGATCCCAGGAGAAAAGTGGGGAGAACTTATATAAAGCGTTGGTATCGGGGATGGGCAAGGGAGAGGCAGAAATGGCGTCTTCCCCCTGATGCTTGTTCTTGACCTCATCTGACTCCTGAGCCAGGCCTGCTCTCAAGTAGACCAGGGCAGCAGGAGCTAATTAATTAGCCAGGCTAAATTCAGTCCCAAGGGGCAGATAATGAAGGCATGGTACTACCTCACAGCTGATTTTTCACCTCAAGCTGATATCGTCTCTTTCCAAAAAGGCCCAAACCCTGGCTCTTTCCCTTCACAGTACCCCGCACCTCGGGCCGGGCCTTACCCCCGCCAGCCCAGCAAGGCCAGGCACCGAGTCATCTGAAAGCTGAAGCACACGGCAGGGGAGAAGGGATCGCATTTATTGATTTCCTGAGTGCATGCTTTCCTGATGGCTCAGCGGGTAAAGAATGCACCTGCAGTGCTGGTGACAGAGGGAGTGAGAGTTCGATCCCTAGGTCGGGAAGGTCCCCTGGAGGAGGGCATGGCACCCCACTCCAGGACTCTTGCCTGGAGAACCCTGTGGACAGAGGAGCCTTGCGGGCTACAGTCCACGGGGTCACAAAGCGTCGTATACGACTGAAACGACTAACACTTCCACTTTGAGTACATTCTCTGTGCAAGGCACCAAGAGCTTTGCTTTTTCCCCCCGATATTTATTTGGCTGCATCAGGTCTTAGTTGCTGCTCCCGGGGTGTCCATTGCGTCGTCTGGTATCTTTCCTTGCGGCCCAGAATCTCTGGTTGTGGCGCACTGCGTCCAGAGCACACAGGCTCAGTAGTTGTGGCACGCAGGCCTAGTTGCTCCGCAGCAACGTGGGATCTTAGTTCCCCGACCAGGACTCAAACTCGCATCCCCAGCGTTGCAAGGCAGATTCTTAACCACGGTTTCACCAGGGAGGTCCCCAACTAAGTGCTTTCCATATCTCTTTCTTGTTTTTCTTCCAAACAACCCTGTGCGTTGATTCTATTTCCCTTTATTGACAAATGAAGCCGCCGCTTAACCTCAGAGAGGTCAAGAAGCTTATGGAGCCTCACAGGTCTAGTAAATGGCGGAGGTGCAATTTGAACCACCAGACTGTGATCCCAGAGGCCGGTCTTCTGTCTCCTGTACAAGCCCTCCCCCTGACGGAGCTGCCGGCAGGTCTAAGTCCCGTTTCCCCCCCCCAAGGCTGATGGTCACGGTTCAGGCTCTGATGCCCACGGCGGGGAGGCCCTCAGGGAAGGCCTGCAGGAGTTCCTGGGTGGGGAGGCCTCCCTGCAGCAGCTCGATGACCTCACCAAGGTGAATCCTGTGACTCTGGAGACAGGTATGCGCCCCCCGCCCACCCCACCCCAGAGGGGTGCGCCTTCTCCCAGAGGGTGTTCAGCCCTGCTGCCTCGGGCCAGACCAGACTCTGGACAGCCAGGTGGGCTGCTCCAGCCTGGCAGCTGCCCCCAGGCTCCCAAGCACAAGCTTTGCTCCAGATGTGGGGTTCATCTTAATTAGATCTTTCTTGCACCTGCTCATCAGGGAGCAGCTGGCATCTCATGGCTCTTGGCTAATTGCAGAGGGAACTCTGGTAGGTGGGGTGTTGGTCTATACGTGCGGCTCTGTCTCCGTCTGAGCCAGGGTTTGCTAACAGCACCCCTGCCTCAGTCCTGAGGTGTCTGCAGGCCCGGTACATGGCCGACACGTTCTACACCAACGCCGGCTGCACCCTGGTGGCTCTGAACCCCTTCAAGCCCGTCCCTCAGCTCTACTCGCCAGAGCTGATGCGAGAGTACCACGCTGCTTCTCAGCCCCAGGTGAGACCCCCCGCTTCCCAGGGAATCAGGGCTCCCCCTCCTGTCCCTGGCAGTTTCCCTGTCCTTATCCGTGTCTTCATCAGCTGTGGTGTCATTCAGAGCCTACTGGGGCTGTGACCTGCCCACCAGAAGCTCGCAGAAGTTTGCCAGGAGGTGCAAAATGAGAGACAAAGCACTACTTGCTTATTTTAGAACCTAAATAAGTAGGTTGGAGCCTAAATCAGTATTTACTGATTTTGGAACCTAAAATAGGGACATGGACAGATTTTTTTTTCCTCTTATTTGTGAATTTATTAGTAGGAAAGAATTTCCAAGGGCACATTTGTGTATTTAAAAACCACTTTTGGGGGAAAAGAATAAAATTACGTGTGGTAAGGATTGCCTTAGAAAATTCAGCACATGTTCATTGCCACTGATTGGGATGAGGGGTAACTTCTTAACACAAGTGGGGATGAAGCTGGTATAGTCAGGGAACAGACCAGTTGATGTTGAGGTCTGTACCACAGCTGAGAGAATCAACAGAGCTGCTTCAGCAGGGTGGGAGTGGGGCTGTGAACGGAGCCCGCCATGGGGATGAAGTTGGGGGAGCTGGGTTTAGGAAGGTGAGACCAGCGGCTGAATAGTTGGAGGTTTTCTAACGGTCCAGGTGAGAAGTGGGTGGGGTGAAGGCCTAGAGAGAGATTGATGGTTCTGATAGCATCCAGAACGACGCCCTCTCCCTTCAGGAAGCTGTAGGCAAGCGATCATTGTGGGTCAGGCAGAGCCGCACTGGGTCTGCATGGACTAACCCGACTCATCCAGGGTTCGTGTCTGAATGGGAAGCCAGGGAGGTCTGACCTGAGAGCCCATCTTAGCGACTGCCTCCTCAAAGGCAAAGCCACGTGCAGGTCCCTGCTGTGTCCTCAGTGCCCGGCTTGATGCCCAGCACACTGAGGACAATTAATCCTTGTTGATGGAAAGGAGAACAGTGACATTGGAATCCAAATCACACAGATGCCTTTCTTTGCTCAGTGGCCTTGGGAAGGTTATTTAACCCATATGAACCTCAGATTTCTCATCTATAAAATAGGGTTAGCGTTCCAACTAATGCACAGACTTCTTAGGCAATAACTGGTAAGAAAGTTCTTGCAAATTGCAATAACAAAAAAAAAGCAGAATAAAACTACTGACATAAGATAAGATGGGAGGATAACATGTTAATGTCATAGACTGGTCAAGGCCAGCACTGCTTCCAAACTGAGAGAAGATGAATGAGTCACACCCACAGCTGGGCCTCACGTTGTTACTGCCAGGAAGTTTTTCTAGAGGAAGCCTCTACCACTGCTGTGGGCAGGCTCCCCATCGCAGCCATCGCTGCATCAACCACTCCCTGCAGACAGGGGTTTGCTCCCATGACCTTTCACCCCTTGATGTTTCAGACACTGAAGCCCCACATCTTCACAGTGGGTGAACAGACCTACAGGAATGTCAGGAGCCTGATCGAGCCAGTCAACCAGTCTATTGTTGTCAGTGGAGAGAGTGGTGCTGGAAAGGTAGGCAGGCCGCTTTCCTACCCTGTCAACTTCGTGACTGGCTGGACGGGCAGAGAGGCTGGGGTGGGGCTCCGGGGAATGTCACTCGTGGAGTCAGTGTGCAGCGCTGGGTGGGACCTGGGCAGGAAGTCGGGAGCCAGGGCTTCTAGGCCGGCTCTTGCACCAGCTCTGCCCTGACCCGAGGTGAGAGTCTTTTCCCCTCTGCGCCTTCATGTCCTCATCCGAGGACTCTCCCAGCTCTGACAGCCTTTGGAAACAAAAGTCAGCAGTTGTGGGGTCCAGCATAGCGTTGAAGAGCACATCGGAACAGTATTTAGCTCTTGCTAAATACTCAGTTCTTTCACATGTAAAATGGCAAGGCAGGAAGGACGGGCACGTGACTCACGGGGCCTTCTGTGCACATAAGGCACTGGCATGCTCGGCTCATGGCAGCACTCCTCCCAAGCCGTGGGGGTTCCAGTAAGGAAGCAGCCCGCCTGCGTCTCTGGGTTGCCCTTGACGCAAGGGCGGTGCGTGGGGCCGGCTGCGGGGAAGGACAGTCTCCTGTGTGGTCGTGTGGTCCCCAGGCGGCACAGTCCGTCCAGGTGACACGAACATCGTGCACGGATGGGTAAGGAGTCGCGCGGCCGTCAGAGGCCTGCTGGCCCGGGCCTTGCCCCCTTCTTGTCAAGCCTCACCAGCCACCCCACCCTTTCCTCCACGTTACCTTCTCAAGGGATTCTTTGGACCGTAAACCCACTCTGTCTACAGTCACCCATGAAAGCATTGCCAAGCACCGAGGCAGGTTCCCCTGGGCTAGCCAGTGAGGAGTGGCAAGGGGAGGAACAGAGAAGAAAAACGCAGCATCTGGTTTTTGGGGGAGGGGGCTTCCCTGATAGCTCAGTTGGTAAAGAGTCTGCCTGCAATGCAGGAGACCCCATTTTGATTCCTGGGTCAGGAAGATCCGCTGGAGAAGGGATAGGCTACCCACTCCAGTATTCTTGGGCTTCTCCTATGGTTCAGCTGGTAAAGAATCTGCCTGCAATGCAGGAGACCTGGGTTCGATCCCTGGGTTGGGAAGATCTCCTGGAGAAGAGAAAGGCTACCCACTCCAGTATTCTGGCCTAGAGAATTCCATGGACTGTATAGTCCATGGGGTCACAAGGAGTCAGACACGACTCAGCAACTTTCACAACAACGCTTGGCCCAATGGGAAAGACAGACAAGGAAGCAGATGAAGACTGCACGCTCTAGGGATGAGGCTAGGACTTGAGTGCAGAGGGGATCTTTGAGAGCTGTGCCAAGGCTTCTGGTGGGGTGGTGATACTCAGCTTCTGGATGAAGCCCATTATCCTCCAGAATTGCTCTGGGGAGCTGAGGCCGGACCTGGCCCTAGACCCATGCAACCAGAGCTCACAAACCCTTCATTGAATAGCTGCTGTGGTCATGGGCTAGGCCCGGTATCTTTTTAAATTTTTATTTATTTTTAATAACTACCAATATAGTTACAGAGTTCAAAAATTGAGCAATACAATAGGGCTTACAGAGAAAAGTAACGACCCTGCCTCGTGTCTCTCAACCCTGTTCCCTGTCTCCAGAGGCAGCTGCCTTCCCATCTTAGCAGTTTGTTTGGGTATGGCCATCCATGTTTCTAAACAACGTGCTTATGTAATTAATTACTGATTTTTCCCTTTTGAACCTTCTCTCTGTTCACTTCCTACTTTGATGACAGTTTAGCCTTGTTACCCTGCCCCCAAATGCATGTGTAATTGTCTTATGATTTCTAAGGAGGTTGACATATATAGTGCTCATTTACAGCTACGTACGTATTGTTCACAGCCAAGCACTGTAATATACTATGGCTATGTTTCCTGTCTTGTATGATTTTTACTTTCTCTCTACTTAATAACTGTCCCCCGTATTTTCAGTTGTATAGTTTCTATATACCTATTCTTTATTATCAAACTTGTCACCAGAACCAGGAAACACCTGCCCGACTGGCAGGTACATCCGGTGCTTTATCCCCCTGCTGATGCCCTCGCTAGCGCTCTCACGCCTCCTGCTCCCATCCGGACGGGTGGCTGCCAAGGGCTCCTGGGGAGCCATTCCCTGGGAGCTGTCTGTCTCGCTCTGGGGATCCAGGCTGCCGTCTGTCCTGTGGTAAATCCCCTGCTGTCGGAGCCCAGTGGCTTCCTCCTCTGCTTTCCTGCCTTGTTCTAGTGGAGCATTTTCTTTAGTAGCTTCTCTACAAAGGTCACATGAAGGGCATATTTTGAGTTGTTGCACATCTGCAAGTGTTTATTGAGCCTTAATTTGACATGTTGGCTGGATATTCTGATCTCAAGTTGGAAATCATTTTCTTTCTGAATTTAGAAGTTATTTCTTTATATATTCTTTGAATGTTGATGTTAAAAGTACTAGTTCATAAGTGGCAGTTTGTGTTTTCTTTCCAAAAGTTCTTAGGGTCATCTTTTCTATCCATAGGTGTTGAAATTCACAGTGACGTGTCTTTTCTCACTTGCTGTGCTGGATACTTTGCATAGGTCTTTTTAACCTTGAGACTCATGTCCTTTAGTTTGGGAAAATGCTATATCTAATAATTTAATAATTTACACCCCTTGTTTTCTCCTTCTGGAATTCATATTAGTAGGGAGTTTGATAAATTGTCTAATATCCTATTTTTCTTACATATTCTTCTATCTCTTAATAATATTTGTCCTGTCTTCTGGGAGATATTCTCTAATTTACCCTTCAGTTCGTTTTAATTTTGAATCTTTATTAAGCATTTTAATTCTAAGAGTTCTTTCTTATTCTCTGAGTATTATTTTCCCCCCAGCATCTTGGTCTTATTTCTTCTCTCCTCTTTGAGGATCTTTCATGATTTTTACTTGGCTCCTGCCCATTTCATTTCTGTTTCCTTCTAGTTCCTTTTCCTCTTTTGTTGTGATATTTGCCATTCATGTAAAAGAAGTTTACCAAGGAGTTGATAATCTTTGAATTCTGTTCATACTTAAGAGTAAAGCCTTAAGCAGCTGATTAGACTCTCTTATGTTTGTGGACAGGATACCATAAACATAAGAGATTATGAAAGAGTTTAGAAAGCTATCTCACCAGGGGTAGCTTTCTAAACCTGTGGGACCCTGAATGCCCATAACTTTTCTCATGAGCTTGTTAGTATCTCCAGAAAAGATTTCATCCAGTCTCTTTCCTGAGAGATGGAAACTACAGTTAAATGGAAATGATAAAAATTAAAAACATGAACAGCTCCTTTATGCTTATCAGCAGATTAGACATGCAGAAGAATACATCAGTGAACTTGAAAGTGGGTCAATAAAAATCAAAAAACAAAGAGGAAATTGAGAAACAAAGAGAAAAAGTGCATTCAGGAGCTTTGGTGCAATATCAAATGGTTTACATACTTGTAATTGGTGTCCCAGGTGAAGAGCGAATGTGGGTCAGAAGTATTAATAATATCCTAAGAAAATTACCAAAAGGGGGCAACCACAGATCCTTGTTCTTAAATGCGATTGAAAGGAGAAATAAAATCAAAATTAAAAGTTTGAGATTTGTACATTCAAGTACACGTGGAATTGATATGGACTCTCTTCTGAGCCTACTAGGACTTCCCTAGTAGCTCAGACGGTAAAGCGTCTGCCTACAAGGCGGGAGACCCGGGTTCAACCCCTGGGTTGGGAAGATCCCTCTGGAGAAGGAAATGGCACCCCACTCCAGTACTCTTGCCTGGAAAATCCCATGGACGGAGGAGCATGGTAGGCTACAGGCCATGGGGTCACTAAGAGCGGGACACGACTGAGCGACGTCACTTTCACTTTCTCTTTCTCTTCTGAGCCATAAAACAAATCTCAGTTTGAAAAGATTAAAATATAAACTGTGTTCTAAATATCTTTTGGATCAAAGAAGTGATCACAATGGATGTTAGAAAACACTTTGAACTGAATGAAAAGGAAAGCACAACATATCAAAATCTGTGCTTTAAAAAAAAAAGGCAGCGCCTGGAGGGAAATTTGTTGTAGCTTGTGTTAGAGAACATGAGAAGCCTGCGCACCACACCTGGAGAGTAGCCCCACTTGCCACACCTAGAGAAAAGCCCACACAGCCACCAAGATCCAGCACAGCCAAAAATAAATGAATTGTCAAAAAAAAAAAAAACACTAAAGTAGAAACAGAAAAAAATACTAAAGTAAATGAAATCAATGGCTGTTTTTTCTAAAGATCAATAAAATCAATAACCCTCTAGTCAGACTTTTTTATTGGCCATGAGGCACAGCTTGTAGGATCTTAGTTCCCCGACCAGGGATCAAACCTGAACCCCCTGCAGTGTAAGCATGGAGTCCTAATGACTGGACTGCCAGGGAAGTCCCCCTCTACCCAGACTTAAAGAGAGAAAATGACAAATTACACATGTCAGAAATGAAAGAATAGGCATAACTAAAGATTCCACAGATGAAATTTTTTCATTAACTTTATTTCAGTAAATTCTCCAGTTTAATGAAACGAGAGAATATTTTGAAATACGCAAGATGGCTGCAGCTCACATAAGAAGAAATATATAACCTGAATATCTAAATTTCTGAGACAAATTTAAATCATAGTTAAAAATCTTTCCTCATAGAAAGCCCCAGGCTCAGGCAGCTTCACTTTGTGGATTCCTCCAAGTGTTTAAGACCCTGATGCTGGGAAAGATTGAGGGCAGGAGGAGAAGGGGACAACAGAGGATGAGATGGTTGGATGGCATCACTGACTCAACGGACATGAGTTTGACCAAAGTCTGGGAGATAGCGAAGGACAGGGAAGCCTGGCGTGCTGCAGCACCTGGAGTCAGGAAGAGTCGGACACGACTCAGCCAACTGAACAACAGTTACAACCAAGTATTTCAGAAATTAATGTTACCAGTTCTGTACAGATTCTTCTAGAAAATAGCAGAGAAAGGAACACTTCCCACCTCAGAGCAAGACCTAAAAATATATATATACAAAAAAAGAACAAAAAAAAAAAAAACCCAAAACAAAGCTACAACTAAAAACTTACAGTGAGGTATAGAGCAGGAATCCAGAGTCAGTATATAGAAATCTCTTGTGGTTCTGTGTCCTAGCAGTGAACAAATGGAAATTAAAATGTAAATAGACCTCATCTCAGCTGATTATAAAAACAGTGGGGATTTTATAATTAAATTGCCTGAGTATAAATCAGAGCCCTATCATTTACTGAATATGTCATCTTCAATAAAATTTAGGTGTTTTTGATGCCCGAGTTTCATCATTTTGAAAGCAGGTAGTATATAATTGCACCTGCATCTGTAGGGTTGGTGAACAAATACATGGCTCAGTAGCCTGCTCAGGTCAGTGTAGGCTGTCCTCCTCTGTCCCAGCGCCCGTCATTTCTTTTTTTCATTTTGCAGAGCCGGGTCTCCGTTGCAGCTCGCAGGCTTTCTCTAGTTGTGTCATGCAGGCTTCTCTTGTTGCGGAGCGCAGGCTCTAGAGCACACAGGCTCAGTGGTTGCCACTTAACCGGCTTCTCTAGTTGCGGCTCTTGGGCTTAGCTGCCCCACGGCCCATGGGATCTTAGTTCCTAACCAGGAATCGAACCCGTATCCCCTGCCTTGGAAGGCAGATTCTTAACTGCTGGACCACCAGAGAAGTTCCTCACCACCGCCCCCCAATTCTTAAATGCATCCTCAGGAGCTAGGAGAAGCAGAAGTAAGTGTCCCCATCACACAGGTGAGGGACACAGTTGAATTCCACTTTCAACCCTTTGATCAGCAACATGGATGGCAGACAAGAGGGTGGTCATGGGCCCCAGTCCCTGGCAGGCTCACATGTGGACAGGAACATGGGCACAGCTCTCACAGGGCCGTTTCTGCCGCAGACATGGACATCCCGCTGCCTGATGAAGTTCTACGCCATGGTGGCCGCCTCACCCACGTCCTGGGAAAGCCACAAGGTTGCCGAGAGGATCGAACAGCGCATCTTGAACTCCAACCCCATCATGGAAGCTTTTGGTAAGCCGTGTCCTCCGCACAGCACCTCCGCCCTGTCTCCTCCGGAATTTACCACCTTCTGGGCAGGGGAGCCGTGCTTTGAGACGCTCTCTTTGCGGGATGGAGAATGACTTATCGTTCAGCGCCTTGGATCCCCAACCACGCCTCCTGGCTACCCTTAGCCTCCTTCCAGCAGTGGTAGCATCACTGTCGTCCTCTCCGTCTCGCCCAGGCAGATGGAGCAGAGGTGAGGGAGAGGCTCACCCAGCCCATGTCCCGTCCTTCTGAACAGCTTCCTGATGGTTCAGAGAAGGGGACATGTCTGAGGATGCCCAGCAATCAGTGTCTGCGTTGGCACTCTAGATGTTGCACCTTACTGTCTGCCTCAATAATAGCTGCTTGTTTTTTTTGAGGGGGGTGGTGGGGCATACTGGATCTTTGCTGCTGCAGGTAGGCCTCCTCTCGTTGTGGCATGTGGAGGCTACTCTTCAGGTGCAATGCACAGGCTTCTCATTGCGGTGACTTCTCTTCTTGAGGAGCATAGGCTCTAGGCAAGCAGGCTTCGGTAATTGTGGCACATGGGCTTAGCTGCCCCGAGACACATGGAATCTTCCCGGACCAGGGATCAAAAACCTGTGTCTTAACCACTGGACCACCAGGGAAGTCCTGACATCTTGTTTTTTATCCTTTCCCTTCAAACAAAAGTCCCTGATGGCCTAGATTGGCTCTTCCCCCTTTGCCAGGAAGCTGTAACACGACTGAATCACATTTGCTCACAGCCCAAGTGCCCAGTCCCTAGTCGTGTCCCATGTGACCCGGAAACCAGTAGAGGGGCCTGTAGGTGACTTGAGGATAGCGACGTGGCCCCGGTAGGCCTGTGGGGACTCTGTGGGGCCTGTCCCCACCTTAGCCCGTGGGGACTCTGAACAGAAGCGGTGGTCCGCAGGGAACGCGTGCACATTGAGGAACAACAACAGCAGCCGCTTCGGGAAGTTCATCCAGCTCCAGCTGAACGGGTAATCTCTGCGGCCGCCCTGGCTGCTGGGGAGCCGGGGGGTGGGGGGCCAGTGCCCAGCCTGGGCCACCGCTGTGGGCAGGAGCCAGCTGCTCCTGGCACATTCATATGTGGGATGAGTGAACCTGTGCGTACACTTTGAACCTGGGGAACTCCAGCTGCTCCAGCCCGAGGGACTCAGGGACAGCGTGCCTGTCCTGACACGTGTGTTCTGGCAAATCCCCTTCACGGAGACTTCTAGTTAAACCTGTCACCTCTCAGCTGCATCTCTGAGCCTGAGGCTGGGGCTTCTGTTCCCGCCTTGGGCTGGGGCAAAATGAGGCACCGAGGCCTGGGCCCTGTCCTTGAGCTGGTTGGAGGGGACTGTCCCGGCCCTTCCCCTTCCCGCCCCCACCCCCAACCCAGGACCTGCCGAGTGGTCCTCCCAAGTCCTCATGACCCCCATTGCTTAAGTGGAAGAGCCGGGGGGAGGCTGCAGCCTGGCACACCATAAGTACCCAATAAATGACTCTGGAATGAACAGGCCACTAACGGGCTCCAACCTGCTTGTGCCCAGGGCCCAGCAGATGACGGGAGCTGCAGTTCAGACCTACCTCCTGGAGAAAACTCGAGTGGCCTGCCAGGCCCCCAGTGAGAGGAACTTCCATATCTTCTACCAGGTCGGTCCCAGGCGGGGCCCACAGCTGCCCAGGTGCAGGGCAGAGAAGGGTCTGTGCCCTCTAAACCTACCCGCCCCTCCACCCCACCTTGCTTCCTGCCTCCTCTTCGCCTGGCTTTCAGCACTGCCGCCCCACTTACTCCCACAAACCTCACATCACACTGACGCCTCACCCTGGCCCTCGGCTCCCAGGGCAACCTCGGCCTGGCAGAGGGCCCTTGAGGCTGGGCCTGTCTCCACACAGGAAATGCTCACCTTCAGACGGAGGGCTGTCCTGGAACAGCAGCTGCCTCCACCAACCGAACAAGGCCTTCCCTAAACTGTGCCCCCTCCATCAGACTGGGAGTCCCCCAAGGTGTGGACAGTGTCTCCCTGCTCTCAGATTGGGCCCGGGGGCTCCTCAGGCGGGGTTAGGCTTTCCTTCCCACACCGCAGGCCCCCTCAGTGAGTGGGGTTTTTTTGCACCGAGTGGAGACGCCCAGAGCTGCTTGCCGCTGCTTTCGCGCCCCCGCCGGCCCTTGGCTCCCCTCAGGGGCCTCTCAGTCTTGTGGTGTGGCTGCCGCTCCTCTCCGCCCGCCCAAGCCCATGCAGGCCTGGGCGTCCAGGGACCCCCGGCTCAGCCGCCCGCCCCCACCCCCACAGATCTACAAAGGAGCCCGCGCCGACGAGAGGGTCCAGTGGCGCCTCCCCGAGGGAGCTGCCTTCTCCTGGCTGCCCCACCCAGAGAGGACCTTGGAAGGTAGGGGGAGCCTTGCCCAGCCCCCTGGGCCGGCCCAGCAGCACCCACGCATCCCCCCACAACCCGTCGCCCCTCCTGACCTCGGGTCCTGATGTGGGGCTGTGACTCGGATTCCTTTGCAGAGGATTGTTTCGAGGTGACCAGGGAGGCCATGCTTCATTTGGGCATCGATGCCCCCACCCAGAACAACATCTTTCAGGTCAGAGGAAAAGCCACACCACTCACGTGTGGCGGCGGTGATGGGCAGCCCCCTTCGTAGGGCCCTTCTCTCAACTCAGGAGTCTCTTCCCCCAGGATCTAGAACTCTAGGCCCCAACGGCACGATGGCCAAGGAGGCGACCACCTCTCTGCGCAGTGGAGCCTGGAGACGGGGTCAGGGTGGACGGGGGCAGAGCACAGAGGGCTGCAGGAGAGAGCAGCACAGTGATCCCGGAGGTCAGAGGGACAGCGCCTGGTTCAGGTGTTACTCTGCTAAGTCAGAGCAGAGAAAACAATGCTGCCATGTGCTTGTCCAGCGTGTTAAAACTTCTAAATCATCACTCTTAGCTCACTTGCTTTTTTCAGCAGTTCCATGGGTATGGAAATTATTCCCATTCCATGGTTGAGACCTGCCCAAAGCCAGACAGCACTCAGTGGTACAAATAGTTTGTTGGAGACGTGCTGGTTCCAACTTCCCACCTCCTTCTCCTTCCTCCTGGGTCTCAGTGCTGGCCCAGGCAAGCCTCCGTCTGCAGGTGGTGACTCCCCCTGCAGAGCAGTGGGATGAAGTGTGGCCTCCATCTCCACGTGGGGGCTGCTCAGGCAAGGGAGAGGAATCATAGCCAGTACGGGTAGCTTGGCCAGAGAGATGGCACGGGGGTCAAGCCCAGGACAAGAGGACCACCCTAGGAGTCTGGCCAGGAGCGCGAGCTTGAGGGCAGCGTGAGCCCCAGCCCGTCCGCAACACCCATTAACACGGCAGCCTCCTCCTGCGGTGCTTGTGGCCTGGAAGCCGGTAGCATGTGAGCCACCCTTTCTGGGACCAGACAGGGATGGGGGGAGAGGCCCCCCTCTACCGGTGCCCGGTCCAAAGGTTTCCAAATTGCTGGACCTGGGGGTCCTCTTTCTTCAGCCCCTGGGGGCTCCCCTGGGTGGACCGCTGAGTGCAAAGGCAAGGCAGCACCCACCGTACAGAGACCAAGATCACAGCTCCTTCCCTGGGCTGGGCTGGGCTGGGCTTCGGAGCCCAGCAGTGTCGGGAAAGGGCTGAAGGACTCCAGAGCCAAGCCCCTAGCAATCACACAGAAGTGGTCTGGACCACAGGAAACAGCAGGAGGCAGGGACAGACTGGGTGACCTGGCGCTCCCACTGGCTGCCCTGGGAGGGATCGGAAGCCAGACTGCCTGGATTCTCATGCTGGGTTCCTTCTTTACCAAGTGTGGGCTTTAACCTCTCCTCGTCTCCTGTCTGTCATGGGCATCACCATAGCACGTGCCTCACTGGTTACTCGAGACGATCCGTATCACCTGTGTATAGAGTCCTGCCTGGCCGGGAGTAAGTGGGCAGTAAATGAGAGCTGTTGTTACTCTGCTATCCTGATTCTGTTCAGCAGGAGAGACCCTTCCCGGGCTGGGCTCAGCCCTTGAAAAGGTGCCCACCGGGTGTCCTCTCCTGCCCCCTCAGGCCCTGGCTGGACTGCTGCACCTCGGCAACACCCGGTTTGCTGACTCGGGGAACGAAGCCCAGCCCTGCCCGCTGGTGGACGATGCTCAGTGTGAGGGTGAGGATGGGGGACCTTGGTCACACCGCCCAGGAGCGAGGCAGGCCCCACCCGGAGGAGGGCCAGTGTGGTGGGATCAGGTACAAGGAGGCCAGAGGGTGCAGTTTGGGATCTGTGCCCCTGAAGCCGTCAGCTGTAGGGCCCTGCCCTGGAGAGGTTCCTCCTCACCCCATCTCTGCTATGGCAGACAGCTTCCTCTGCATCTTACAGATGAGAAAATGAGAGCTGGGGCGCGTGGGGGTGGGTGGGTTATGCAGTGCTTTATCCCACTCCTGGCCGTGTGGACTGGGACACAGCAGTCCTGGCCTCAAGTCCTGCCCCTGCCCCTGCTGAGTCTCTTCCCCCCGTTCCTGAGTTTGCTCTGCCCCACGGAGGGGGTCACAACCCCACCATGCTGACTTCAGGGGCCCTCGTGCAGAGGGCTGTTTGGACGGAGGGTGTCTGTGCCTCCCAGGCTCTGTCGGGACATCGGCCTTGCTGCTGGGGCTCCCGGAAGATCATCTGCTAGAGACACTGCGGATTCGAACCATCCGGGCGGGCAGGGACCAGCAGGTGTTCCGGAAGCCCTGCTCCCAGGCGGAGTGCGACACCCGCAGAGACTGTCTGGCCAAACTGGTTTATGCACGGTGAGTGCTCTGGGCCCTGCCCTCCTCCCAGATGCCCCCTGTCTGGAGTTGGACCAGACGGTGAGCGCTGCCAGGGAGAAGTAGACGGGTTTCCTGCCCCGTTCCCCAGCCCTGGGGGGATAGCAGGGAGTGGCTCCTGGGCTTCCCCAAGCAAAGCCCTTGGCTCAATTCCAGAGGGCTCTGCGTGGGAAAGTGGCCACAGCCTGGCCTAGATCCAGCATGTGGTTCAGAGAGAGGAGCCTGCCTCACTTTGGCGGTGGGTGGGGAAGGCCCGCCTGGCTGTCTGCTGGCAGGGCCAGCCCAGAGGTGACGTGAGGCCTCCCAGGTCCAGGCGCAGACCTGTGGGTGCATAGGCTCCTGGGTCCCTGCCGTCACGCTCTCTGTGGTCACCTGGGGATTTGATAGCTGCTGGTAGAGCCGGGAGTTTAGCCCACGGTCTTGAGCAACACTGCAGGGAGTGGAGCCCAGAACCCGGAAGGCGGCCTTGGCCTTTCCCTGTTGCTTCTGTGGGCATCTCCACCCGTGTGCTTGGGGGCGTTTCTCACCCTGGGCTCTCAGACCCTTCAGGATGCCGCTGAGGGCATCTGGGGCCCAGGATCCTCGGAAATTATGGGATGGAACACCTCTGTGTGTGTGTGTGGAACTTGGGTAACTGGAAGAGGGTGTGTGTGTGGAACTTGGGTAACTGGAAGAGGGTGTGTGTGTGTGTGTGTGTAACTTGGGTAACTGGAAGAGGGTCCTGTTGCTTTCATGAGCTTCTCAAGAGCTAAGAGCCTGACCAGCACCACTGAGGGAGTCAGAACCTCTGAGGGAAAGTGGCCCAGGGCCCCTGAGCCCAGACTGAACTCGGTTTAGCAAGGGACTCCGTTCTCACTCCCTTGAAGCAAATTTCAGGTCAGAATTTCAGGACAGATTTTTAAAGGTTTTGTGTCAGATCACTGCAAAATGGGTAGATAAAGTGGTCACAGACACAGTGAACCTCTAACCATGGATCATTTTACACACAGCAAACAGGTCCTTGTATCACTGGGTCTCTTGTTTTTACTACCTCACATGGATATTTGAAGCCCTTATTGCAAAAACAGAAACCGTTTAAAAGTCTGCAGAGCAATTACTTAAATCGTAAGGAAGAAAACCCTTGTATCATGTTGTAAGGCAGCCATTCCGTCATCTCAGGGGTGAAGGTTGCAGAGCGCAGGGTGTCACTGTCCAGCTGGGGTGACGGGGTGCCCTCATACAGGACAGTAGGGGAATGTCCTGGGGCCTTGAGCTCTGGCCTCCACTGGCTGAGGTTTGCAGGGGAGTCCAGTGAACTCAGTCCTTTATAATCCCACTCAGGCCTGACCTGCCACCCCTTCTTGTCAAGATGGCAGCTGGGTGTCAGGCCAGTGACTGAGGCTCACCCACACCCTGTCTAGCCCCAGCGTTCCACAGCAGACCTCAGCAATATTGTAGAGTCACTTCCAGATCACCGCATTAAAGCAAGTGGGACAAATTTATTGGTTTCTTGGTACATAGATAAGATGTATTTATACTACATGGTAGTCTATTAAGTGTGCAGTAGCTTTATGTCTAAAAGAACAATGTATAATAATTTTAAAATAGCACTGTTGGAAAAGTGGCACAATAGGCTTGTTCGATGTTGGGTTGGCACAGTTTCAGTCTGTAAAACAGGCAGTAGAGAGAAGCTTACTCTGATGTGCCTGCAGCTGGTCCCCTGCTCACTCTTGCAGTGGACAACCCAGGCCTTCGTGTGCCTAGGCACACACATGACCCCAGCCTGCAGGTGTAGTGGGCTGGGACAGGATGGGCACAAAACCAGCGGAGCAGGTTTAGCCCTTGACCTTTCAGGCTCAGAGGATAGGCCCTCCATCCAAGGGGTGTACCCAGGCTGGAAGGGCAGTTCTGCCACCGTTCCAGCTCAGCTGGACCCCTCTCACCCGAGCCCACTCCCCCCCACACACACCAACAGGCTGTTTGACTGGCTCGTCTCGGTGATCAACAGCAGCATCTGTGCCACCCCCGACTCCTGGACCACTTTCATAGGTAGGTCTGGGGGCCTCTGGGCAGCTCCTGCATGCATCCCCTCCCACTCCACCAGTGTGGGGCGAGGTCCCTCTCTCTAGTGCCCGTATCTGGCCATCCCTAGCTCTCCAGGCAGACTCAGCTGGTGCCCGGGCCACGAGGGCCCCTTCACCCCCTGGAGACCCAGCTCCTGTCTCAGGAGAGTAGAACGGACTCGAAGGGCCTCGGGGGGGCGGGATTTGAGAACGTCTTTGGAACCTGGGTAGGACAGTCAGGTAGGGGAGGAAGCAAAGCTCAGAGGCACCAGTGACGTCTGCTCACAGAACGGCGAGCACCCACTGAGCGGCCAAGGCCCAGGCCGTCCAGACTGGGTGGGACCTGGGGTCCCTGGGGCCTGGTTCCCTCACCTCCTTCGGCCTCTTCCTGCTGAGTTCTGAGGGGCAGGAGGTGGCGAGGGGAACCCCTCCCTTGGGGTGGGGGAGTGCCCACTCGGCTTCATCCTCAGGCTGCCGAGGGTGAAGCTTCCCCCCAGGCCCCTGTAGCCCCACAGTAACCCTCCACGGGTCCCCCGCCCTGGCTCCCCAGGCCTGCTGGACGTGTACGGGTTTGAGTCGTTCCCCAACAACAGCCTGGAGCAGCTCTGCATCAACTATGCCAACGAGAAGCTGCAGCAGCACTTCGTGGCTCACTACCTCCGGGCCCAGCAGGTTTGCGGTGGGGCCCGCGTCCTCACCCCCTCCCCGGCCCCAGCCCCGGCTCACTACCTTGGGGCCCAGCAGGTGCACCGTGGGGCTGCCCGCGTCCTCACTCCCTCCCCAGCCCCAGCCCCAGCCCCATCCCGGGTGCGGCCGGGCGCCTCAGTTCCCTTGGGCAACGTGCTGCCAAGGCCAGCGGAGGGTGCCCCCCCCCCCCCCCCCCAGCAGCTCAGACCACGACTGCCCTCCACCCCCAGGAGGAGTACGCAGTGGAGGGCCTGGCGTGGTCGTTTGTCAGCTACCAGGACAACCAGCCCTGCTTGGACCTCATCGAGGGGAGCCCCGTCAGCATCTGCTCCCTCTTAAACGAGGTGGGGGGTCATCGGCGTGCCCAGCCCCTCGGGCGGGGCCCGGGGCTTTTCCCGGGACCTCGAGGCCCACCCTGTGCCTCCTTCTCTGTGTCTGCTTAGTGGGTTCACTTGCCCGCTGAGCCCTCCGTCGCAGGGACTCCGTGGTGCTCCCATGGGTGGGTTCCCGCGCCCCTCTGCCCCGCGGCTGACGGCCCGCCCCACGCAGGAGTGCCGCCTTAACCGGCCAAGCAGCGCCGCCCAGCTCCAGACGCGCATCGAGAGCGCCCTGACCGGCCGCCCCCGCCTGGGCCGCGACAGGCTGAGCCCAGAGCCCAGCTTCATTGTGCTGCATTACGCGGGGCCCGTGCGGTACAGCACCGCGGGCCTGGTGGAGAAGAACAAGGTGAGCAGCGGGCCGTGGCCGGTGTCACCGGTGAATCCAGACGCGGAGGCATTGCCGCACGTGTGCGGAAGCATCTGCTGTGCTCCCTGCCTGCCTGCACATCCTCTCGGGGTCCAGGGTCACCTCTCAGACCCACCTTTATGAGGTCTCTGCTACTCCGGCACAACCTGCCCAGAAACAACCCTCCTCACACCGTGTCTCCTGGCCTCTAGGCTCAGATGTGGGCCGGCCCTCCTCCTGGGGCCCCATTGAGCAGGGCCGGCAGCTCCCCCTATCCCCCCGCCATCACCCGCCGCCTTGTCCTTTCCCATAGGACCCTGTCCCCCCGGAGCTGACCAGGCTCCTGCAGCAGTCTCAGGACCCCCTGCTCAAGGTGCTGTTTCCTGCTGACCCTGAAGAGAAGTCCCAGGAAGAGCCCTCCGGCCAGAACCGGGCCCCTGTGTTGACCGTGGTGTCCAAGTTCAAGGTGGGTCCCCTGGCATGGACACCACGTGCTCGCTCATGAGTGTCCAGCGTTTACCGAGCACCTCCTGGGATCGGAGCTGAGCTTCTGGAGCCCGGAGGCGGCCAGTAGCCGTGGTCCCTGTCTGTGGTAGACAGGAATCTGACAGATGGACTGGGGGTCTGTAGTTGTCATGACAGGAAGCCTCAGCCGGTGGGCGGCAGTGTGCCCTCTCGCCCACCGCCGATAGAGTGATAACAGAAGCGCAGTGACTGCTGAACCTCCGTGGCGGCCCACTCCTTCTGGACAGACCCTGTCCTCGGCGGAGCAGGCTTGTCCCCTCCTTGGCGCCGTGTGTGTCTCAGCCCTGCGTCTCCTGCTCCCCTGCCTCATCCCACCCTGCCACCCCTCCTAGTTTACGCCTTGTCCTGCTTCCCACTGTGGCCTTCTCATCACCTCCGGGGGAGGCCACCAGGGCAGCCTGGGTCAGGGAAACACCTCCCCGTCCAGCCTCAGACACGCCCCTGAGGGCCCGCCCTGTGTCTGCAAGGCCCTGCGCTGTGCGATGGCGGCGGACAGCTGTGTCGTAGCCCCAGCACACAGGACAGGCTTAGTCATGACAGGAGTCGCCTGAATGAACGGCAGGGTTTCTGAGACGGTTCCCTTCTGGGAAGATTGCCCTGGTTGGTGTGGGGGAAGCCTGAGATCAAATGCAGACAGACAGACCAGGTGGAGGGTCACAGGTCAAGGAGGGTCCCTGAGGCCGCCTGGAGTCACCCCAGGGCGTGTGAGGGTCCTGGTCTTGGGGTGCCCAGCCGATGCCCCCCCTGCAGCCTGAGCCACAGTCTCCCCTCTGCAGGCCTCCCTGGAGCAGCTCCTGCAGGTCCTACACGGCACCACACCCCACTACATTCGCTGCATCAAGCCCAACAGCCAGGCCCAGGCGCAGATATTCCACCGAGAGGAGGTAACACACTGGGCTGGCGCTGCATCGCGGAGGGTCCCATTGTGCCAGGACGCTGGAGGGGTGAGAGATGGGACGTCTGCTCCAAACGGAGTGACGTGAAGAGGGGCTTCTCTCCCCCGCTCTGGCAGGACAGTCATGTATGGTTGTGTGGCCTGTGCCCTGCACAGTGGCCCAACCACAGGAGGCGAGTAGGGGCTACAGGGCATCTTGCTCTCTGCTCCCCAAGCCACATGCCCTAACAAGGACAGGCAGCCCAGAGGAATGGGTGTCTTTCATGATTAGCTGAGAGTCTGCATCACCTTACAGACCAGGCACAGGGCTGGCTCTGATGAGGGTGTAGTTCCTAAAATCTGCTCAGAAGTACCCTGTAGCCAGCAGCTGGCCTTTGCCCTGTGGAGGGATGTGGGTGAGGTGTGAGAGCTGGACTGTGCTGGAGTGGGTCCCACAGTCACATGGCTGATGTGGCCTTAGAGTCCATGGCCAGGATTACTGCTTTATGGTAAAGACGTGGGGTGGGTCCTGGAGCGTCTTCACAGTATAACTTCCCCCGCCTCTCAGCTGTGACGCACTGTGTTGTCTGCAGAATACAAAATAAATAAAAACTAGGAACTGGATTGGGCTGCGTTGTGAGGCACAGTTGTAATCGGTGAGACGGCCAGCACCAGCCTCAGCTGTGCCAGAAGCCAGGCTTCACATAAGGGACCTGGGGCTGCCGGGACCCCTTCTAGCAGGGATAGTCTCTCCAGGTCCCTCGATTGCTCGCTGCCCCGAAGAGTGTCCGCCCTCAGGGGAGCCCGCAGGTCCCTGCCAGCGGGGCCACTGAGGGCGTTGCGTCTGGGGCCTGTGGCCCCTGCTGCCCACGCCTCTCCCGTCTCCGCAGGTCCTGAGCCAGCTGGAAGCCTGTGGCCTCGTGGAGACCATCCACATCAGTGCCGCCGGCTTCCCCATCCGGTGAGTGGGTCGGTCGGTCTGTCGGTCATGGGGCCGGGGCGGGGTCAGGGTCGCTGGGCCGCGCGTCAGCGGGACGCAGAGATGGAGCGAGAGGCAGGCCCGCAGGCCCGCGGAAGTCGGCCTGGAGCTCGGGGGCTGTGCTCACTTGCTGTGCCCTGTTTTGTGGAGGCTCCGGGCCTGCCCTAGAGTCAGGAGAGAAAGGAGGACGTGAGTGGGAGGCCGTTACAGACCCTCCAGGCGCGAGGATGGCCTGGTGAAAGAGAGAAGGGGATAAAAACGGACCATGGCGTGGCTGTGGGAATGGGACTCGGGCTGATGGACGGTGGGTCACTGGGGAGGGGAGTGGCCAGCTTCCAGGCCACAGAAGCACCTTCCAGCTTCCATCTGAGGCAAATGGGTGAATCGGGACAGTTCCCAACACAGGGTGACCTGGGGGGGCGCCCCGGGGGTGGGGAGTCAGGTTTGAAGCGTTGGGGCACATGAGGAGCTGTTCTCGGTGACTTTAACACCACGAGCAAGAAGGAGACCCCGTGGGAGGCGGGAGGTGTGAGGCCACTCCCTGAGGGATGAGAAGCCAGCAGCAGCCTGGAGGGAGTCGGGATGAGAGAGGAAGCGGGGCTGCGGGTGTCCTGGAGGCTGAGAGCGAGTGACCTCTGTGAAGGCCTTGCCTAGAAAAGCAAGGCTCCGTCTGGGAAAGACCAAGGCTGGCTTCCCGCCGAGGGAGCCCAGTGACCTCATCCACTCAGCAGGCAGTCAGGGCAGCGTCTGGCGGGTGGTCGAGCAGAGTAAACAGTGATGCCGACTCAACGCTGGTAACTCTTATTTCTCCTTCCACCTGCCTCGGCTTTCAGGGTCTCTCACCGGAACTTCCTGGAGCGGTACAAGTTACTGAGAAGGCTCCGTCCGGCCACAACCCCCGGCCCCCATGGCCCATGTCCAGCTGGAGGCCAGTCAGGTGAGGGCACCCACTGGCCAGTCATCTGTTCACCCAGTTCCCCGAGCACCTACTTGGACCATCTCAGGGCGAGGGCCTGGGCTTCAGAGATGAGTAACGACAGTCCTGCCCTCATGGGGCTCTTGGTCCAGTGGGAGAAAGAGACTAAAAGAAGGCAGTTAAGCAGTGAGCAAAGTGGCGAGGCAGAAACAGGATGCTTTGGATGGTCTACGAGGTATGAACCAGGAAGGCTTCCTGGAGGAGGTGGCATCTCAGGTGAGGTAGGACTAGCCAGGTGCAGGCACTCCACGGACAGGAGACAGCACTGTGTGTGTGAGGAGCTCCGGGCTGTTGAAGGTTGCTGGCTCCTGGGGATAGAGGACAGTGGGAGGCGAGGCTGGGGGCAGGTGGGCCCAGTCCCAGAAGCCAGACATTCTCCAGATAGATGGGAGGCACTTCCAGGAAGGGAGGGGGTGATACCAGCCTGGGCCTTTCCAGAGGTCACTGCGGGTGGGACCCTGAGTGGCCAGAGGGGAGAGAGGCTCTAGACGTGGGCACAGTTGGGAAATGTTGGAAAGAAATTGGTCAGACTTGGCGAGCATTGGATTCAATGTAGGGAGGAAAGGATTAGCCAGGCCCAGCCAGCGGGGAAGAGAGGTCGGAAAAGGGCTTTCTTTTTGGGGCAGCTGCCAGGCCAGGCCTGGCTGGGAGGATGTCGAGAGAGGCCTGCTCTGCGGGGGGTTGTCTGATGCACATGGCATCACTGAGACAGTGAGAGCCAGTATGAAGACCCTGGGCAAAGGCCGAGGATGGGGCGAGTCCCCCCGGTACACGCACCCCCAGGGCCCTCCCCCAGGGCCCTGCATCCACAGGCACAGTTTTGCTTCGCATCTCCCGTCTCTCGGGCAGTTTTCCCACTCTCCTTTCATCCTCTCTCCCTGCTTCTCCCTGCGGTGCTCTCCTGTTCTGTCTCTTGCCCAAAGCCCCCCGAGCCCCTGGTCGACTTTGCTGCTGTTTCTCATCTGCGGCGTCTCCTCTGGCCACCGCTGTCTCCAGAGAGGCCCTGGGCAGCTAAAGGTGGTCAGAGCCCTAAGGTAAACCCTCCGTCTGCAGGAGCTGCCCCGCCAGGTGTGGGGGGCAGGCAGGGCCCCCACTGGGGTCTGGGGTCTGTTCTCCGCTTTCCATCCACGGCGGGAGGGCTCCGGGGCAGAGGGGGAGGCCGGGCTGCCCCGTGCGGCCCTCAGCATGTTTGGGCCCTTGGAAATGGGCTGCAAAGCAGCGAGGGAGTCTAGGCACCAAGTGCCCCCTGCCCTAGGGGACCTCCGGGGTGGGGGCTGCCGGCCAGTGCAGGGCACAGCCTCCAGGGGGACCCCGAGATCCCTCGGGACAGCCTGGGGGACGATGAGAAGAGGCCCCCTGCAGCCTCCTCCCCAAAAGGAAGGAAGGGATGTTGAGACACTTGTGCAGTGGGAAGGAAGCCTGTGGCACGTCGGGGACACTGAGGGGATGGTGACACGCTGACGGGCCCTGTCTCCATCTCAGAGTGGCCTCCATGCGCTGAGCCGGCCATGCTGCGGGGCCTCCTCCAGGACATCCTCCACGCACTGCCAGCCCCGCTGCACTGCGGCAGGACCAAGGTGTTCATGACCGACTCCACGGTAAGTGGGGCCGGGGTGAGGAGCTGGTGGCCACGCGCCCGGGTGGAGGACGGGGAGCACAGGAGGCCGAGGACCTCAGCGGACACCCTTCCCCCAGCTGGAGCTCCTGGAGCGCAGGCGTGCCCAGGTGCTGGAGCAGTGTGCCCGCCACATCCAGCGTGGCTGGAGGAGATACCGGTGCCGCACGCAGGCCAGGCAGAGGCGGGCAGCTGTGCTCATCCAGGCAGGTAGGAGCGGGGCCCAGGGCGCACAGCCCTCAGTCCCGGCCAGCAGGTGGGCCCGGGGGCGGCTGTCTCTGCAGCTGCACGCGATCCCACGGGATACCTGTGTCCCTTGAGGCGTTGCTTCTAGAGCCCCCACAGACCAAAGCGGACTGTGTCCCAGCCTCTAGGTGTTAACTGCATGTCCCCGTGGTGTGCTGGGCCTCGAATTCCCTGTCCAGCTCACCCAGAGCACCCCCAGTTCAGTGTGGACCACGTCCCACCCCAGCCCTAGCCAGCTGTGTTTGTATTTCTTCCCTCGATGACAACTGTCATCATCACTCGGGTTCCTGGGCTTGTTGAGCTTAAGAAGGTAAAAACCAGTAAGATCTGACGACACAAGGAAGCAGTGTATGAACCACGACACAGCCTCACTTTGAAAAGCAAAAATACTAGAAACCCAATATCTGACAGTTGGTGGAGTCATGGCTACGTTATGGACCCATCCTTGTGATCCACCCAAGAAGTGTTTTTGAAGAATATTTTTAGTTTCATGGAAACCCCACTTCCAATATGATGCTTAAACCTGGATGATGAGCTACACAGCAAGGTGATGCCACCTTCCTAAGGTGTGTTTGTGTGTATGGGCCTGAAAAATATTAAGGATACTGCAAAACTATCTGGGTTGTTGAGATAACTGGTGACTTTCAAATGACTTTACCAAATAGCCCTTTTTCTGAATGACTGTACCAAAAAATCAGAAAATGCATATTTCAAAAGGAGAAAATTAAAATTGCCCCATGACCAGTCTCACATCCAGTAGCTAGGACCTTCACCAGCTGTGGGTGTGTGGTGGTGTCCTTCGTGGATTCATACGGCGAGCGAGCAAATTCAAACGAGGGCTTCCAAAAAGAGGTCGTTTTAAAAGATGCAGACACTTCAGACCCCTCGTGTTCCCTGGGCGTTGCCCAGGGTGGGAGGTGGCAGCCTCCCCTTGGCTGTAGGCACCTGCCTCCAGGTCTGAGCGCTGTTTTTCAGAGCCAAGTCCACGTCACGCTCGCTCAGCCCCTGACCTCCCGCGGGTGCCACCATTCATTCCCATGTTTACAGCAGTTCTGGCGTTGGCGTAGCCTGGTTTACCAAGAGCTCTAACCAGCATGTCACTCTTGTCTCCTGTTTCTGAACAAACCCCTCAGCCGTCCGCTCCTGGCTGACTCGGAAGCACGTCCAGCGGCTGCACGCGGCTGCCACGGTCATCAAGCGTGCGTGGCGGGAGTGGAGGGTGAGTGCCGAGCTGGAGGTCAGAGCAGGCCGGGGGCTGGCCCTTCCTACGGGGCGGGCGGCCTCGCGAGTGATGTGGGCCCCGTGCCAACCACACAGCAGGACGGCTGTGACACAGAGGGGCCCGAGCCACCCTGGGAACACACCAGAACTCATACAGCTGAGCGCTTTAAAAGCACAGATTTTACAGTGTATCAGTTAGATCTCAATAAGGCAGATTTTTTTTTTGAGGTTAATTTGTGCTTTTATTTGCCAGTATAATTAGCCACAATGGCCTGCAGGCTTCTTTGATCTAAAAAAAATACATTTTATATCACAATCCAACAAACACACACACATATATAATATGTATACATACATAAAAGTGAAACAAGTTTTGCCAAAAATGTCTACCCTAAGTGTTAAATTTTTTTTGGAGATCTTTTTTTTAAAGCAGTTTTAGGTTTACAATAAAACTTGACAGGAACATACAGAAATTCCCCATATTCTCCCTCCCCTCACATGAACAGCCATTATCAACAGAACAGTACCTCTTTTTTCTTTTTAGACCAAGGATGACTGCATTGACACATAATCAAAACATCCCCAGTTGACCTTAGGGTTCCCTTTAATGAGCAGAGCAGTGTTGCGTATTCTGTGGGTTTGGACAAAAGTATGACCACACAGATCCATCATTATAATGTCGCTCAGAGTACTTTCACTGCTCATGAAAACGTCTGTGCTCTGTACATGCCTCTGCAAACTCCTGACGACCACTCATCTTTTTACTGTCTCCAGAGTTTTGCCTTTTGCAGAATGGCATACAGTTGGAATCTTTTTCTTTCTCCTTGAAATGAGAGGTTCAGGCCGTTTATGAGACCACTCCTGGCCCACCCAGGCGTGGACCGGACAGGCTCCGGGGGCAAGCTCCCCCACCACACGCTGCGGCTTTCCTTCCAGCACTGGCCCTGCCCAGCGGCCACGTGGAGGTGCAGGGGACGCGAGTACTCCAATGGCGCTGGATTTAGCACCACGCTTCCCCCTACTTGGGCTTCCCTGGCAGCTCTGACGGTAAAGAATCCCCTGCAATACAGGAAACCCAGGCTCATTCCCTGGGTTGGGATCCCCTGGAGGAGGAAATGGCACCCCACTCCACTATTCTTGCCTAGAAAATCCCAGGGACAGAGGAGCCTGGCAGGCTACAGTCCATGGGGTGGCAAAGAGCCGGACACGACTGAGCGAGACTAACACACACTCTCCCCTCACTTGTATTCTTTGGTTTATCCTATTCCTGACAAGCATGTGAGTCAGTGGTCCAAGATTTTATATCGTGGGCAGCCGCCAGGGAAAGAGGCAGCGAGCACAGACAAGAGCTGATACCCGCCTTTTACAAGGATCAAGTGACACAAGGCAGAAGGAAGGAAATGCTGCATTTCCTACCAGAGGAATTCCTATAGGACATAATCTTGATAAAATCGCCATGACAACACACAGGCCCGCCAGAGCGTAAACAGAAGTGCAGCTCTTTGATCTTCCAGCTTTAAGCAGTCCTAAGACTGGGACAGGTGATATTCTTAGCAGGGGAGAGCTCCCTCCTAGCATTTCCTCATCCATCTCCTGCTGAGTGGATGTGACACTGTCTTTAATACTGTTTGGGGCTTTGCTACTGTTTTAAAGTAAGGAGAAAAAGCACACTCAGTCAGTCCTGCCTCTGCTTTGATGTCCTCGGGTGTCCCCACCTCCCTGCACTCCCAGCCTCACTCCCGAGAGGTCCCTTCAGCCTCCCGGGAGCTGGGGCTAAGCTGCGTCTCTCTCCCAGGGCTCCATCAGGTTTCACTGCAGAAAGTCCCCGCTGCGCTATGCTGACACCTGCCCCGGACCCTCGCCCGACAGCGTTACTGGCTTCAATCAGATCCTGCTGGAGAGACACAGGCCGGGCCACGTGTGACCTCTTCTGCCCTCCCGGCCTCGCCCGGCCGGGCCACCCCCATGCCTGTTTCCACAAGGCCTTCTCCTGCCAGCGGCCTCGCCAGGGACACGTAATCAACACCCGGCTGCCAGGTGACTCCCGCAGCGACTCCGAGCGCACTCGGGGAGCTGTGGCTCCAGCCTGCAGGCGGGCCAGCGGCTGCACCGGTGGCCTGGGGCGGCAGTCTACGCACCCCCCGACCCTGACGGGTGTCAGGGTTGGCAGCAACCAAACCAGGATTAGGAAACGTCAGGGCTGTCACCACCTTCACACAGCCAGCTCAGCAGTGCTGGCCATCACTACAGCGGGCACCCCACCCTTCCAACCCCACAGGCAAAGTCAGCTTGAAATCAGCTCTAAAATTGCGGCTGGGGGAGACTCTGCCTTGAGTTCCTTTAAAAGGAACAAAACCTTACTATTTAAATATCTGATTAATTTAATTTCAGGCAACTAGATTATAAATCAAGAATGATCAATGTAATGTACCAAAGAACCACCACACCGTAATTTTATTTCGAAACACTGAGCAAGTTTTCACTCAAATGGGTGTGAAAGCTCAGTAAATATTTATGTCTTAATTGTATCAAAAATAAAACACTTAAAAACCACCATTTGAATGTCGAGTTCTCTGTCCATACGGGTCTACCAGCGTGAGTACTTCCGCCTGCCTGCACCCCAGCCTGCAGTGCTGGAGGGGGCAGGGGGGGCCCACTTCAGTCCCGAGTCCTGGCAGCGCTGCCCACACGTGACGGCCTCCCGGGAGGGGCAGGCAGCATGGTCATCCACCTCAAGGATCCTCGTTCTGAGACGGCTCCACGATCCTCAAGCAGCAGTCGGCAAACTCCACAAACAAGGGCTCCAGCATGCAGGCTCGCATAAGCTTGGCCTTGTCATCTGCCCGATCGAGGTCGACCATCAGCTGTCTGAGGTGCGGGTTGAGCAATAAGCTCTTCAGCGCTGCAGACTCCCCTTAAAATGAACAGCGAGGAGAGCCAAGCTGAGCTCTAGTGGGTGCAGGTAGAGACAGCTGAAAGCCAAATGTTCCAAACGTAATAAACACCAAGCATGCTGCACCCCCTCACCCAGCATTTCACATGAGGTGAGGCTTCCCAGGTGGCGACAGTGGTAAAGAATCCACCTGCCGACACAGGAGACACGAGATGTGGGTTCAATCCCTGGGTCAGGAAGGTCGCCTGGAGAAGGGAATGGCAACCCACTCCAGTACTCTTGCCTGGAAAAGTCCACGGACAGAGGAACTTGGTGGGCTACAGTTCAGGGGGTCGCAAAGACTTGGATGTGACTGAGCACACATGTTCAAATAAGGTGGGGTCAGCATATCAGATGGTTTCCAAGTTAAATGCTGTCGGGACCTTATTCTTTTATACCTCTGTAAACATCTTAATGCCATTCACCTAAGCAAAAGTTATTTTACCTGCACAGACTTAGCTAAAAAATTGTCTTACTTGCAGACTTACCTAGGTTCTTTAAATTCTGCAAAGACACTCTGTCCTCTTCCTCGTCACTATTGAGAAAATCAGCCACAGAGTCGTCGTCATCATCTAAGGAACATAACACAGCCACCTGCTTATGACCGGAAAGGAAAGCTAGGTGCCAGATTTTAACAACTCCAGTAAATAAAAAATGTGTGTGCACACACACGACAAGAATAGAGATAATGCAAGTGGGCACAGACAAAACCACCTCTTCTCAGGAATTTGTGACTATGCTAACACTCTTATTTTAGGAAAGTGAAGACCTGGTGACTTTAACAAATGCATCCTAGTGTTCACACAAACTATGTTTTGGATTTGGGCCTTATTTTTCAGTTCTTCCCACACCACCTTTGCTCACTATGGCTCCAGCCCTGTCTGTAAAAACCCACGGACAGGACTCCCCTGTGTTTTCGGCATGGGCGGGAAGTTCTGAACCAATAAGGAAGTTTCTCAAAGGGCAGAAGTGGGCCATCCCCTGGCTCTGATTGCTCAATACCTTTTCAGTGGCACCGGGAGGGGCTATCTTCAGAGCCCAGCATGATGCATGGTGCGTAGGAGGAATTAAAGGGTACGTGGGGCTTGCCTGGTGGCCCAGTGGTTAAGAATCTGCCTTGCAATGCAAGGAACACAGGTTCAATCCCTGGGCCGGGAAGATCCCGTACGCTGTGCCACAACTACAGAGCCTGCACTCTGGAGCCCAAGAGCCGTAAGCACTCAAGCCCGCTCACCCTACAGCCTGTGCTCCATGAGCGAGGCCACCGCTCTCTGCAACTAGAGAAAGCCTGCACACAGCAACCAAGACTCAATACCAGAAAACATATATTTTTCTTTTTAAAAAAAAGAGAAGGCTAGATGGATGGGGAGGACGGCAGCACACTCGCGCTGCAGGCTCTGAGGGCCTCCAGGAGTAGCAGCAAGGTTAAAGGCAGCGCGCCGTGTGGGTCCAGGTCAGGTGAATCCCCGCCAGGCCCAGGGAGGGAGACCCGAAGCCGTGACTGGAGGCGGCTCCTGCCAGCAGGGTCCACCACTCACCCCAAACCACGGCTGTGGCCTTTCCCCCCGCTCCCTGTCCTTCTCCTGAATCTTCAGGCGGCCCCACATCACCACCCATGACGACCTGTGCTCTGGCCCCGGTGCACAGGGCTGAGGAAGCTGCTGCTCCTGATGAACTTGACGCCTGGCCCAGCCCATGAGTCCCTTCTCCTCTTTCTACATATTCTATTTGAAACCCTTTTCTCGGTTTGTGTGTTTGCAGTCAACCAACCCACCTTCATTTTCCACAGGCTTTTTAGTTTTTGCAGTAAGAGCTGATCTTATCTTTTTCTCAACAGGACCAGCTGCAGGCTTGCACTGCTCTGAAAAGACAAAACTCAGGTGTACATCACCTCCGTTTGAGTGACAAGGCTGCACCACTCCCCCAAGCCAGCATCCAGCATCCAGGGGGAAGCCTATGTAGGGGGTAAAGGACTGGGTGGGGGATGAAGGAGAGGAAGTGAGAGATTCCGTCAAGGGGCCCGCCTCACGCCCCCTGGAGCCTGTCTCCATCCTCCCTGTCCTGCCTAATCCCACAGACACTTCACCACGACTCAGGAACACACTGACTTCAGTTAGCCGCAAACTGTGTTCTCAGCAGTTTCAGATACGGAATGCGTAGGTACCACGTGCCACTGGGAGTCCACACGTGAAACTCACCAGGCCCGCCTGGGAGGGGTTCCGCCTCACAAAGGACAGAGAGATGGACAAGATAAGGAGAGTCTGAGCCAAGTCACCCAAGAGGGTGGGGAGATGAGAGGCGGAGGTGCTGCCAGCTGGAAAGAGCATTCCGGGCAGAAGGAAAGGCCCATGGCTGCAGCGGACCCTTGAGTGAGCAGAGTCAGGAACAAGGAGGTGGTGACGAGCAACTGGCAGCTGATGGGCAAAGCAGGCCTGGCAGGACGATGGGGCACAAGAAGAGGAAGCCGCCTCCAAGACGCAAGTCTGTCTCACACCGTACCACCTTTATGTGGAATCTAAAATGACACAGATGAACCTACCTATGAAACAGCAACACACTCCTGGACACAGAGAACAGACCGGTAGTCACCGACAGGGAGGGGGCTGGGGAGGGATTAAGCGGGAGGTTTGGGTTAACAGATGCAAACTATCAGAGGGAGAATGGATGAAGGTCTTACTAAATAGCACAGGGAACTAGAGTCAGTATCCTATGATAAACCACAAGAGAAAAGAATATAAAGAAAAAAGAATGCTATGTATGTGCATAACTGAGTCACTCTGCCATACAGAGATTAGTAACACTGTAAATCAACTATACTTCAATTAAAAAAAAAAGACCACCAGACATTATGCACCATCTATAGCTGTCCTATGACCACCTGTAGTATTGCCAGAGACTGACCCTGAGCTCTGACCCAGTCTCTAATCTGTCAGTTTTTAAGAAATAGAGGACTGAGGAGCATGCCTGACTGCAGCACGAGTTTGCACTCAGCAAAACCCAGACCGTGGGGAGTTCTGCAGGTCAAACGGCGTGGATTCTTCCCCAGAGAAATTGTTAAAAAAATAATAATAACAAAGGACGGAGGAGCAATTTACAAATTAAGAGAGACTTAAAAAAAGAATCACATTTTGGGGGAATTCCCTGGCATTCCAGTGGTTGGGACTCGGTGCTTTTGGTTAGGTTAGGTTAGGTTATGTTCAATCCCTGGTCAGGGAACTAAGAACCAAATGAAACAACACTCTTTCAGGATACATACTTGCATAATAAAACTGGAAAAGCAAAGATGTGATTGCTATAAAGGTCAATAGAGGGGTCATTTATAGGAAGTGAGAGCAGTGGGTCAGGGCAGGGCATGTGGAGGAGTGTCTGGAATGTATGGCAAAGTTCTATTTTTTTTTTTTTAAAGTTTTTATTTTTGGATGTGCCGGGTCTTTCTTGCTCCAAGGGCTTCTCTCTCCTTGCACCAAGTGGGGGCTGCTCTCCTGCTGCAAAGCACAGGCTCCCGGGCATACAGGCTTCAGTGGGCTCAGCTGCCCCGAGGTATATGGAAACTTCAGAGACCAGGGATGGAACACACTGCCCCTGCACTGACAGGCAGTTTTTTTTTGTATTTTTTAAAATATATAATTATTTTTATTTTATTTTGGTTGCACTAGATCTTTACTGCTGCACACGGACTTGCTCTAGTTGCAACAGGAAGGGGCTACTCTTTCAATGCACGGGCTTCTCATTGCAGTGGCTTCTCTCGTTGCGGAGCAGAGATTCTACAATGTCGGCTCAGGAGTTGTCACGCATAGGCTTAGAAGCTCTGAGGGGTAGAACCTATGTCCCCTGCATTCACTGGCAGCTTCTTATCCACTGAACCACCAGGAAGTCCAAGTTTTATTTTCTTGACCTGGGTGGTGTTCGCCTTAAATTCAGTAAGCCAAAAAAAAAAAAAGAATCTACAAATAATAAATGCTGCAGAGTGTATGGAAAAAAGGAAACCCTCCCACAAAGTTGGTGGGAATGTAAATTGGTGTAGCCACTATGGAAAACGGTATGAAGAGTCTCCAAAAAACTAAAAATAGTTACCATAGCCCTCAATCCCATTCCTGGGCATATACCCAGAAAAAATAAAACCTCAAATTTGAAAAGATACATGCACCCCAATGTTCATAGCAGCACTATTTACAATAGTCAAGACATGGAAGCAACCTAAATGTGCGTCAACAGAGAAATGAATAAGGAAGATGTGGTGTATACATATATGGCGGAATACTACTCAGCCATAAAGATGAAATGATGTCATTGCAGCAATATGCATGGACCTAGAGATTATGATACCTAGCGAAGTATGTCAGAGAAAGACAAATAATCATATCACTTATACATAGAATCTTAAAAAATGATACAAATGAATTTATTTACAAAACAGAAACAGACTTCAGACACAGAAAACAAATTTATGGGTCCAAAGGAGAAGGGGTGAGGAAGGATAAATTAGGAATATGGGATTAACAGAAACACACTACTATGTATAAAATAGATAAACAACATGGGCCTAAAGTATATTATTGTTTCATTTAGTTACTAAGTGGTAGCTGACTCTTGCAACCCCATGGACTGTAGCCCGCCAGGTTTCTCTGTCCATGGGATGTCCCAGGCAAGAATACTGGAGTGGGTTGCCATTTCCTTCTCCAGCAGATTTTCCCAACTCAGGGAATTAACCCATGTCTCCTGCATTGACAGGCAGATTCTTTACCACTGAACCCCCAAGGAAAGTATATCATAGGGAACTATATTCATTACCTTGTAATAACATAATGAAAAAAAAACAAAAAAGGATACAGATCACTGAATCACTTTGCTGTATACCTGAAACACTGTAAATCAACTATACTTCAATTAAAAAAATTTTTTTTAAATAAGAACAAAGCAAGCAGGGTTTCCCTGTGGTCCAGTGGTTAACAATCCGCCTTCTAACGCAGGGGACACCAGTTCAATCACTGGTCTGAGAAGATGCCACATGCCATAGGGCAATGAAGCCTGTGGGCCACAATTACTGAGCCCATGTACCCCAGAGCGGGTGCCCCGCCAATAAGAGAAGCCACTGCGACGTTAAGGCCAAGCACTGCAACTAAAGAGCAGACGCCGCCACCGAAACTAAAGAAAGTCCCTTAGCAGCAAACGAGAACCAACGCAGCATTCCCCTCGCCGCCCCCCCCCAAAAAAAACATACTAGCAGAGAGGCTGGAGTTTTCACCACACAGGAGTGAACTGCTCCAATCTGTGTATCAGGAAAATTACCCAGATTGCGCTAGGGGGTCTTGGAGGGCTGCAGGACCAGAGAAGCATTCCAGACACAGCTCCCAAACTATTCCAGAAAGCAGTTCTACTTCTTTCCTATTTTGAGCCGAAAGGGTTTTTTGTTTTTTTTTTTTCCAAGTGCTCCGGAGACATTAGGGTTAAAAAAAAAAAAAAAGCTGGAGCGGGACGGTGGTGCTGTAAAATCAGAGACTGGAGGGGCTAAAACTAGAGGCAAACCACCAATGAGGAACTTTAACAGAAATGTCACTGGGGCGGGGGGGCGCAGGGAAGGGCCCCTGAAGACTGAGAAGAGGCGCCGAAGACAGAAAAACTTAAAATGTAGACGTGACAACAGTGACCCAGGGACGTTGCTCCTTACCGTAAACTAGTGTCCCTCCCCATTTCTATCAAGACATCACTTAAAATTAAGAAAGAAAACGTCGTTAACCTCAGCCAGAGCAGCTTCTGCCAAACGACGCGGAGCTGAACACTACGAGGAAGGCACAGCTAGGGGAGGCTTTGGAGGCAAAAGCCAAAGACTGTTTAAAAAAAAAAAACAAAAACAGATGGCAGGCAGAAGGGAAAGTGGGGCAGAGAAAAGGTTTCTGATTGTCCATCAAGTGGAGGCGCACTCGTAGGAAGAGGTATCCGCCTGCCCACGGTGGGTGGGAGGCGGTCCCCAGGGTCAGGCGTTGCAATGCTGATAGCAGGGTGATAGCTGGGCCCGGGGCCCACGTTCCCGAGGCCGCAGGGGAACAGGGTGCTGCGGTCCACGAAGANCAAGTGGAGGCGCACTCGTAGGAAGAGGTATCCGCCTGCCCACGGTGGGTGGGAGGCGGTCCCCAGGGTCAGGCGTTGCAATGCTGATAGCAGGGTAATAGCCGGGCCCGGGGCCCACATCCCCGAGGCCGCAGCGGAACAGGGCGCTGCGGTCCACGAAGAAGGGGGCCTTACCTTTGTGCTTCCGGAAGCAGGGCAAGGAACAGCTGCAAAAACAAAGCCACAGGCCGCGTCAGCTCCGAGGGCGGAGCGGACCCTCCCGCCGCCCCTCCCCTGCCCCGCGACCCCCGGCACTCACTAGGGCACGCGGCAGGCGGGGCAGCGGTATTTGGGTTTCTCCAAACAGACAACGCAGACGGCAGTACCGCAGCTGAGCGACGCCATGGTCTCTCCCAGGTCGCTTTCCCCGCCGGCGCGCCAACCCCGGGCCCCCTCGCCCCACGTGCACGCCCTTTCCTTCCGTTTCCTCAACCAGGACCAATCAGCGTGCAGCACTTACAGTCACAAGCAATCGATTAATCCCGCTCCTCGTTCCAGGCCTGAGAAGTAGAAAGTCGATGCACTCGATACGCATCCAGAGCCCATTGTCAGGGGTACTCCCTGATTAGGGCTTCCCTTGAGGCTCAGTTGGTAAACAATCCGCCCGTAATGTGGGAGATCTGGATTCGATCCCTGCGTTGGGAAGATCCCCTGGAGAAGGGAACCCACTCCAGTATTCTGGCCTGGAGAATTTCATGGCCTGTATACAGTCCATCGGATCGCAGAGTCGGACACAACTGAGTGGCTTTCACTCCCTGATTAGGTCACGTCGTGGAAGAACTTGTTATATAGCCCTGTGCCTGTCCCTACGCGGCTACGTGACTTTCAGCAAGTCATTGTCACTCTCCAGCCCTGGTACATGTTCTGCATGTACCTAAAAAGAATAGGTGGGACTAAATGCCCTTTTTCTCCTGTCTTGGACTTTCTCAGTATTGCATGGGTATTGGGTTCTCCCCACACATCTCATTTGGGCTTCCCTGGTGGCTCAGCTGGAAAAGAATCTGCCTGCAATGCGGCAGACCTGGATTCCATCCCTGGGTTGGGAAGATCCCCTGGAGAAAGGAAAGGGTACCCACCCCAGTATTCTGGCCTGGAGAATCCCCATGGACAGAGGAGCCTGGCAGGCCACAGCCCATGGCATGGTAAAGAGTCAGGCACGACTGAGCGACTAAGCACAGCAAATGAGAAGTCCACACTCTGGCCAAACCAGACTCAGCTAGACCATGTGACACACATGTGCCCTTCCCGAACATTTTTCTCACAGGAAAGGAAGATAAGCCTTGGCCACTGACAAATGTTTATTGAGCTCTAACTGTGAGCCCTGTGCTTCTCAGATGCTGGGCTGGGAACACCCAGGGATTAGCAGGCATCTCTGGGAGCTTAAGGCTTAGAGTGAAGGTAGGAGGGAGAATCCCTGGGTGGGACTGATTGGCCAGGGAACAGATGAGTGACCTCTGGCCCAAAGGTGGATATCCTGGTCCAGAAAAGGGCTTGAATGCCACCTCGGGCTTTAGGGATAGACAAAGTCACATTTTGTTGGGAGCCCTGCTCCTCTTCAAAGCTTTGAGCACTGTCCAGCTTTACCAGGCTTCCCACTCCACATGTGCGGTACTGTCTTGAGGTCATAAGTCACCCTCACCGCCTAATCCTAACCCTAACCCCTTTGCATTGATCCATCAGCCCTCAGGATCTCCTTACTACAAGGGCCCCACTCCACTGTCACAGTCTGTAGGGATGAATCTGCTACATCCTCAAGCAGCCATTCAAGTCTCAGCTCAGACCCCTCACTGTCTGTGTCACTTGGAGAGACTGGCTACCCTATCTGAGCTCCCTCGCCTGTTAGAGTAGATGTTCCTACTTTCCTGAGCTATTGCAAGGCAGAGAGGTGACTGTAAAAAGATTTGTGATCTGAAGTGCTACAAAGGGTTATTTATGTGATTTCTAGAGTCTGTAACTCTTTTGGAGCTCTGGTCCCAACCCCATAAGCCCAGGTTCCAGGCTCTTAGTCCCTGGAGGCTGAGGTTTTGGAGTTCAGGCCCCTCTAAAAGGGTTCCACTGCCAGCCTCAGTGAGCCGCACTGGGGTTGGGCTGGAATGACTAGCCGTCACTCCTTCGGCTTTGCCAGGCTGTTGAGGCTGCTGTCCAGTCCTCGGTGCTGAAGTGGCACTGCCCCTCTGGTTGCCTACCTGCCCCAGCATGCAGCTGCCCCTGCCTCCAGCCTCCTAACAGAACTCACACCAAAATCCAATGTTTTCCCACTGATCCAATACTCTGACGCATTCATTGTATCCCTCAACAGTTATGACCGCTGCTGGTTTGAATCGGAAGTCTCCCAGAAAGTCTGCACTTAACAGGGAAGGACAGAGGTCAGTGACTTGAATCCTCTGCTCTCTGGCATCAGTACTAATTCCCCAGCTATGGACATCACCATCGCCCACCCAGACTTTTCCTGTGAGCTGTGTTTGGAGGCTGAGGCCATGGAGAGTTTCCACAATTTTCAGGGGCTCAACCTGAGCCCATCCACATCCACACCCACACCATGCTGACTCCCCTACCTTCCGGTTCAGAGATGGTGCCTCCAGCAAAAAGAAACTTCCTGGAATTCCTCTCATGCACATTGCATTCAGTAGAAATACCTCTTCTACTCTGGGTGACCCCCATCTTCCATGGACCCCCTCCCCACTCCAATATCCAGGAAAGGAGGTGTCTCAACTGTGATGGCGGGGAGGTTGGGGAACATCCAAAAGCAGCGACAGAAGCCTGGTACAGCTCCTCTGGGCAGTGGCTAGTTCAGAGCAGAAAGACAGGTATGACTCTGGGCCCAACAACTAGACGCCCACAGATTTGCCCTGGCTCTCTATGGTCCCCCATCACGCCCTCCTAGCAGCTAAGGCTGTCTCACGTCTTCTCAGCGTCAGCTTGAGGCGCAGAGCAGAACCTGGAGAGAGGAGAGGTAATAATCAAGGCAGAATGGTTTCCAGAGCCCCGCTGTCTGGCAGGCGCTGTCCAGCACATTCCAGGCAGGTCCAGCCCAACGCCCACGCCGAAGACTAGAGGCGTTGTCTTGAAAGTGGAGGCCCAGGTCCGGCACCGAGCACCGCCAGAGGGCGCCCCAGATCGAGATTGGTCCTGGCGCAGCCGGCGCCAGAGCAGGTCTGCAGCGCCTCTGGCACCCAACTTTGCACCTTGGGTGGGAGGCAACGCGTACCACGCAGGGAAAAGCAAACCCAGGCCTGGCCTGCGCAAGAAAGAGGGTCAAGAGTGCCGAGTTGAAGCCGACGACCGGATGGGCAGCAGTAACTCTTCCATGAAAGCAAGGCCCACGCCAGGCCAGCCGAGAGCTCCAAATGCGCCTGGCTGTCCAGGGAGAGTTCCCGAGGTTGCCCCCCCGACCCGCGCCTCTTAGCAACCCCTCGGGCAGAGATCCAGCTGGAAGCTGGCCACCCCATATTAGCTTGATGAAAGCCTAATAGTGCTTCTGGAACTTTTAGATGACTAACTAGGGCGCACCCAGTGCCCTGCGTCTTTCCTGATGCCAGGATGGGGTGGGCATATAGGTTGCATAATGGCCGTATCCGAGGCTAGAGGTTGATAAAGCTGGGCTCCCTGTGGAACTGTGCTAAATCCCAGCTTCTTTCTGCAGTCCTAATACCTCTAACCCTCCACCCTCTTGATTGCACCAAGAGAAATGTCCACGGTGGTGTGTTTAGGGAACCTATACAGCTGGTTTCATCTCCTACTCTTCCACTTATTCTCTGATATCTGAGAGAGTGCTTCAGAAGTTAAAGGGGGTGAGGTTGTTGGTAGGAATCAAATAAAGACAGCCTGAGGTTCTGGTGGAGTGGCTTCCAAGTCATCTGATTTCAACTCTCTGCGTGTTATTTTATCTTGCAATGCCAGCTCGAGACAATGACAGTCTGACCTTCCATTAGACTTCAAGGAGAACTTCCAAACAACAAAAGACATAAGGGCTTCCCTCCTGGGCCAGTTGTCAACAATCTGCCTTGTGATGCAGGGACGTGGCTTTCGATCCCTGGTCAGGGAACTAAGATCCCACGTGCTGTGAATCAATTAAGTTCCTGCACTGCAACTAGAGAGTCTGTGTGCTGCAACGACCGAGACTATGTTATGAACTACGACCCGACAGTCAAAAATATAGTTTTTAAAAATTTTTTTAGAAGAGAGAGAGAATAATTGCATTGTCTCAGCAGAACTGGTAGAAGAGCACAGACCTTAAAGGTCACTACCACCTAAACCCCACACTTTCATTTTCTCACACCTTCTTCCATTTGCAAGTCAACATACATACATCTCTCACCATACATTCCCTAGAACAGAGATCAAAGGAATCAAATAAAAATAAAAGCCCTGAGACTCCTTCATCAGCAGATCTGCACAGGAAAGTTATTCAGGCCATAGGAAAATGATATCAGATGCGAATTAAAATCACAATATAATACCATAAACATACCAGAGTAACTAAAATTGCAAAGTTTGGCAATACTAAGTGTTGGCAAGGGGTCTGCTATGCATTGGACATTTGCACCCCCTCGAAATTCATATGCTGAAATCCCAGCCCCCAATGTGATAGTATTAAGAGGTGGGTGGGGCCTTTGATAGGTGATAAGCTCATGAGGATGGAGCACTTGTGAATGGTGTTAGTGCCCTTATGAATGACCTCCCAGAGGGTTCTCCTGCCCTCTTTCTGTGAATAACAGTCTGTGAAGCAGGCACCAAGTCTGGTGGCACCTTGATGTTGGACTTCTCAGCCTCCAGAACTGTGAGGATAAAAAGCTGATGGGACTTCCTTGGTGGGTGAGTTCAATGCCCGATCAGACAACTAAGATCCCACATGCTGTGGGCCATCTGAGCCCAGCACTACAGGGAAGAGCCCGAACACAGTGATGAAAAACCCCACATGCCTCATGCGTACGTGCTGCAACTAAGACCCAACGCAAGTAAACATTTTCCTAGACATTTGCTGTTCAAGCCACCCATTTTATAGTATTCTTATTATAGCAGCCCAAATGGTTTAAGACAGAAATTGGTACCAGGAACCTAAAAATGTGAAAACAGCTTTGGAACCCGGTAATGATAGAGGCCGGAAGAGTTTCAAGATGCAGCCTTGAAAAAGCCTACACTGCCACGCAGGGACCTTCAAAGTCAATTTGAGTGTGGCCTCAGAAGAGGAGGAGAGCTGCAGAGAAAGCCTCAGTCTTCTTGCTCTTGTTCAGTTGCTCAGTCATGTCCCACTCTCTGTGACCCCATGGGCTGCAGCATGCCAGGCTTCCCTGTCCTTCACTATGTCCTGGAGTTTGCTCACACTTATGCCCATTGAGTCAGTGATGCCATCCAACCATCTCATCCTCAGTCATCCTCTTTTCCTCATA